CGGAGGGCGTCAGGTTTGGGGGCCGCATGATTTCGTCTCTGCTCTTTGCGGATGATGTTGTCGTGTTGGCCCCTTCAAACCAGGACATTCAGCATGCACTGGGACGGTTTGCAGCCGAGTGTGAAGCGGTTGGGATGAGAATCAGCACCTCCAAATCCGAGGCCATGGTCCTCAGTCGGAAAAGGGTGGCTTGCTCACTTCAGGTTGGTGGAGAAATCCTTCCTCAAGTGGAGGAGTTTAAAGGACAACTCTGGCGCAAAATGAACCTTTGGTCTAATTACACATTGTTACCTATTCAACCGTTATCTGAGATTTGTTTTCATGATTGCTGAATGTAAATAGTTTTATCTCTAAAAACAGTTTAGCCTATAACGCTAGTATAACGCTAGTATATAGGGCATAGAGTAATGACAAATAAAAATCGCTTGTTATTACCACTAACAAGGCTCAAAATAGCCCCACACTAACACGACAGCATAATAAGGGTCTCTACATTCAAACCGAAGCATTGAGAACTTTGTCAGTGTCCAAACAGTTTAATAAGAAGATATTTTATACACACAGTCAACTTCGCGAATACAGGAAGAAGCCATCTTTGAAAAATAGTCTCGACCAGTCGATCTACGAACGCCGATCCAAGTGCGCTGAACTGTGCAGAATCTCATATGGTCCGTTGTTTCCGGAAGAAATACAAACACGAACCGTTTTCTTCTCTTCAGTATGTACACGTAGCCTACTGTTCGCGCTCACCTTATCACCTTATTCACATCTCACCAGCGCACATGGATCGGTGTTCGTAGATCGACTGGTAGAGACTATTTTTCAAAGATGGCTTTTTCCTGAAGATCAGAACACTTATTATCTGGATATCTTATCTGGATACAGATCTCATTTTAATACCAAGTGTAAATGGGGTCTCAGACACCTGATCACGTCTGTCGCGACAACGTTGCTTTCCATTATGAGTGAGTACATTTGAAATGATACACTTGAGTGCGCAAAAGAGGCGATCTGTGAACGGGCCCTATTTTTGTCTTTCCAAGACATGATGTTCATGTGAACAATGAGCCTCGTCCGCTCTCATTGCAAGGGTGTCGAAGTCTGGACAAAATATGTACAGTGACATGACATCACTGCCAGATTCAAACTGTGCGTTCACTGGCGCTGAGCCAGAGATGGACGCGCTCAGTGCTTGTCATATCATATAAAGTGTTCGGCGGGCCGTATGGCCAAACTTAATTCATTATTATTATTAAAATTAAAAATTTAAATTGTTTTTATTAATCTGTTTGTGTGGGCCACCTGTCAATCTGGATGGGCTCGCTCATGCCTCTCCGCAATGGTGATAGTTTAAAGAGCGCGTGCAACAAGAGAACACTGTATCCTTGACACTGATAGCAGCGGACACGAGTGCTCAGCTTGATTTAAAAAAACAGATTTTAGTTCTAGATCTCTTATTTAATAGCGAACTAAATGAATGCTCTGCTAGTTAACGGGAGATGTTTTATTTATTAGTATAAGGTACATCCGTGCAATGTTTCAAAATGTGGTGGGGGACAATATCGTTCCTGAGAAAAAGGGGTAGCGACATATCCCACCTGCAAATTACGCCTATGATGACGACCACTTCACTAGATCTAAACAAATCAAACCATTCAAGAATTCATGTTTAACGGAATAAACAGTTATAAACACAAGTGAACATGATTTATTGTCATCACCAATTATCATAGTAGAACAGCTTTCTCAAGCAGTTTGTGATGCATTTTGGAAACAGGAGATGAGCCCCTGGTCTAATGCGCCCCCTGTCTTAAGAAACCCATTCTCAAAGACTTACTTTTAGTCCTTATTTGGGTAGCACATATATTCTGAATGCCTTCGGCAGAATTCAAATGAACCATTTTAATCTAGATTAATTCCAGGATTACAGTGAGATTAATCTGGATTAAAAAAATGTATCTATGCCGACCTCTAATATTTACATATTATGTGCTAATTTTTCATAATTATAATATATATTATGTGCTAAATAGCAACATCATCATTACAATTACAATTAAATATACAGTATATTAAATTCATGACATACAACTTTTAATAGAAATGACTTCAGTTTACTTTAACCAAGTTTCAAAGACAATAGAAGTTGTTATGAAATTACATTTAAAAAATGTACTGAAGTCCTACTTATGTGCGTCAAAAAAGCATAAGTTAAACTAAACGCACTGCATTCAATAAACATTTAAAATAAATATGTTTTAATTTATTTGCAAACAACGTGCAAATAAACATTCAGTTTTCACAAGGAACAGACCAATTTAACAAGCACGTAACTAATCCACGGCTATAATAGGTTCTTATTATAGCTCCTATTTATCTGAAATAAATAAATGAATTAAATAATTTATGTACTATTTGTCACAGTCTTCGTCTGCACCAGTCTGTCCTTGTCTCTGCACTACACTTCCCACAATCCTCCCTGTCTCCAAACCTGAACTCACTCCCTCACTTACCAGCCTGTTCTTCGTAATCATCATCAGTGTCACCTGTCTTCACCTTGTTATGTTTGATTCATGCCTGTATAGTCTCCTTCAGTTCAGTCTTTGTCGGTTGTTGAGTGTTTCCTGTTGCTTGTGCTAATGTCAATGTTGTTAATGTGTTTTGTGGATCTTCAACCTGTCTACCTGCCTGTACCATTTTGTTTCTTTATAATTTATAAAGTAATTTTCATCGGTAGTTCCCCAGCCAGCAGTAAAAAAAAGGCAACCGTAAAGATATTAACAAATTTGTAAAACTATGTTGGGTGGACTCTGTTCCTCTAGGGGGGTTCGGGGGCATGCTCCCCCGCTAGAATTTTTTTTACATTTTAAGGTTAAATGCATCAATCTCGTGCTCTTTGAGAGATCAAAATTAAGAGCTTCAACCCCTGAACTGCTCGTTGAACAAAGAAAAAGCATTGATTTGTACCAGGACAATAAACAGGGCTCAAACATCTTTTTAGTTGAGTCTCAGTCTACATTACATTATCAATGGTGTTTTAGGATCCCAAACAATTATTATAATAATGTAATAATGATTTATATAATTATTCCTATGATGTAAAATCCATATAGCCTATAAATGTACTATATGTGAAAATGAATATTTCAAAAGTATATTTTAGTCAACATTACACTATAGGAAAATTAAAATACTTTTGTCATATTTCTTCACTTGCAAGAAATAAACCCTTAAGCTTTTATTAAGAGAAAACACCAGATATAACCATGCTGATCGCGTGAGCAAAATGCACACTTTTCTTTAAATCACCCATCAAAATTGGATGCCTATCCTTAAAGTCTTGTGCTGTTTTATATAGGCAAAAAGCCATATCATGGATTCGATTTTAGTTTGTTGGCAAAATATAACACTATAGCCCATTATGTCAGGTTATACATTTTACATCTCATATGTGTTGGGAAAAGGCAGAAGAGAGAGTTCGGCAAAAGGCAGATTCGAACTCAGGTCGAGCGCATCTAAAACTGCTTTAGGGCCGGTTCACATATCGCGTCTTTTGCGCGCTCAAGTTCGTTATTTCAAATGTAGGCGCGCGGTATGCGCGCTCATAATGGAAGCGACGCGGTCGCGGTGCGACGCGCTCGTTTTTTCCAGGCGCGTCCGCGCCGCATCGAGATAAAAACATCTCAACTTTTCAGAATGCCGCAAGCGCACCGTAGGTCACGTGACACGAACCAACCAATCAGCTTCCTCGCCATTTTTGTTACCTCTTCTTAAAATATAATCAAACTGGTCCTTGTCCACTCTGAAATAGGCTTTGAACCTCCCATTGTCCAGGCGGAGTTCCTGAATCAGCTGGTGAAATTCCCCATGGTTCTTGCGTTTTTGTAGTATGGGGTGCAACCAAACACTGCGGCGTTTTTTAACTTTTCTGGCCCTTAAAGCACTTCACTCACACCCTACGACCTACGCTACTGTAGTACTCCGTGACGTGCATCTATTTACTAGAAAGACAGGCACTTAATGCAAATATACGCTCCGTTATCGAAAACGCAAAAAAAAACAAAAAAAAAAATTCGCATGGCGAACGTGCAATGTAGACCTGCCCTCGCGGCCTCGAAAAACTAACGGCTCACCGGGAAAACTCCCGACTCTCCCGATTGCCACTCCACTAACGTTAACGTTACTCCACAGCGGCGGCAACCCGCTAGACTAAAACCGATATGGTTTCGGAATCGGAACAACTGAAAGGAAAAAAGTGTGAGACACAGCTCTGGAGCGTCTCAGTTGATTCACAAAACTACCTAACGACCCGGATTCTCATAACTCTGCGTGTGTTTCGCGCTGGATGACGGCCGTGCTGAGCGGTGCAGGTACAAAGAAGTAGAAGACGAGAAATGTTTTCATTTTCATTTCATTTTAAACCACAAACTACTGAGTATGTTTTGGACATTATTTAACCGTGTCAAAGACGAACAAAATTTTTAGAATAACAACATTTCTTGCTCCAGTTTTAGGGGTGCTGAGCTCCTTTTTAGGGGTGCTGAAGCACCCCTAAAAAGGGGCTAGCCTCGCCCATAGAACAAATTGTTTGTGATGTTCCTCATTTGTAAATCACTTTGAATAAAGGTATCTAGTAAATTAATAAATGTAAATTACCTTGAACACTTCAATATTGTTTACATTTCAGTACTGAATTTGTTTTCATTAAATGATTAAATCATCTCTGAATTTGGATCCGACTCAACCTGGATTCTGAGTTCACCTCAAATATAACAATTTCAATAAAACAATTTTTATTTTACCATTTAATTGTTTGTGCATAACCTAACTGATAATAATTAAAATTTTGTGATATTACAACCAGCAAACCAGTAAAACCCACTCCCTGCCACTGTCCTACTACTTTTTAAAATTACTTTTTTTTCTCAGCAAAATCTAAACAAAAACTGTTTTCCTTATTAGAACTTAAAGCACTCAAAGCACTTAAAACTACCACTCACCCCAGTTTCTCCAGTTTACACTGTGGATGTTTCAGTAGATCTGAGAGTTGCTGCATTCCAGATTCTGTGATGTTATTCTTACTCAGGTCCAGCTCTCTCAGATGAGACGGGTTTGATCTCAGAGCTGAACTCAGAACAGCACAAGCTTCCTCATTAATAAAACAAAATCTCAACCTGTAAGTGTAAAGAAAGCCCTTTAAAATTATGTTACATAAGATTCATTCTGTGATCAAGGCATGGTGTGGAGCTATCCAATTCTTGTGTTGTTTTTGTTTGTTTGTTCTGTTCAGTCATTCTACATCAAGTTTTACCAGAGACAAACCCCGTAATAGAGCTGCATAATTTGGGGGGAAAATAGAAATGCAATTTTTCTGGTTAAAACTGGGATTTAAAATGCTTTTTTATTTTTTTTTTTACAAATTATATATAAGGAGATCAAATGTGAACTAACAGATTAAATAAGGAGATCATGTGAACTAACAGTTATCAGTCTTCAATTATGCTACTAAAAATAAAGCAATAGACACTTACCTCAGTTTCTCTAATTTACACATTTTTAGTAGATCCGAAAGCTGCTTAATTCCTGAATCTCCGAGGAAATTCCCACCCAGGTCCAGCTCTCTCAGATGAGACGGGTTTGATCTCAGATCAGCACAAGCTCTGACACCAAGGCCAAACTGATATTCCCTGCAAATAATTATTGACAAGAAAGATATTTAGTATCACATTCACACTAAAGCACCAATAAGAACAACATTCAAACACCACATTAAAATGTTACTGATGGACAATAGAATAAATTGTAAATATTTCTGGGAGAGATATGATCACATTTTTAGCTCATATTTTATTTTACTCACTCATGTTCTCCAGATGTTTTGACCACTGGTCGAATCTTCAGTTTTTCTGATTGATGAGATTTAAGGTAATCCAGCTGCTCTTCTGAATTCAGCAGCACAAACATCAGAGCTGAGAACTCATCAGGAGAGAGTCCGAGTCCAGATTTCAGCTGTGTCTTCATCTCCTGGATTAGATAACGCTCATCCAGCTCTTTCAAACAGTCCAACAGGAGACTGCTTTTCACTGCAGTTTCTGAAGAGGAACTCATGATCATAGTTTTGATGTGTTGAATTATTTCTTGACTGGATGAAGAGTTGCTGCTTCTCTGTGTCAGGATCTCTTTTAAAGCAATCTGAGTGGACTCCAGTCTGAAACCCAGTAAGAAGCAGAAGAAGAGCTCCATCTGTTTCTGCAGAGTTTTGTCTATGATATGTTGGAGTACGTAAAAGTATGCGAAGCTCTGCTCTCCAAATTCTAGTTTCAGACTGGAGAGATCTCTGAGCTGACAAACTTCTCCTCTATTAATGATCTCGGTAACATACAAAGCTGCCAGAAACTCCTGTGTTCGGTGATTTACAAAGCAGAATAATTTACACTCGCTTTTGTCTTCAATCCTTTTTATGATCATTGACTTTTTCAGGACACTTTCATCTCTAAGTCCACGTTGCTTCAAATCTTCATCACAGAAGAGAGATTTGCTGTTTACCAACCAGTGAAACGCTATATTCCCCAGAGCGACGATGGTGTCTCTTCTCTCTGGATTCAGGTCAGTCTGAGCTAACAGGAGTCTGCTGTACATCTGAGTGAGAGTCTCTGAACCCGTCTCGTCTGTTCTGAACATTTCCTCTGGCATCGCTGCGATGATTCTGCAGTAATCTGGTAAATAACACATGCTGTTGATGCGTGGAGATTTCCGGATGTGACTGATGACTTTATTGGCCATACTCTGGTCACTAATGCTCTTTCTGAAATACTCCTTCTTCTGTTGACCATTAAAGCCCTGGATCTCTGTCACACGATCAATAAACTGTGCAGGAATCTGATTGGCTGCTGCCGGTCTGCTGGTGATCCAGATATGAGCGTTTGGAAGCAGATTTCCCATGATGAGGTTTGTCAGTAGATCAGAGACTGAGGCTTTCATGATTGGATCTTTAATCTTCTTAGTGGTTTGGAAATCCAGAGGAAGTTTAAACTCGTTCAGTCCATCAAAGATCAGCATGACCCTAGACTCAGGATTCAGATGTCCGGTGTTTTCACAGCATCGCTGCAGAAGCTCCATGAAGCTGACCTCCTTCACCGTCTCTCTGATGATGTTCAGCTTCTGGAAAGGGATTGGAAATATATATTCGATGTCATGGTTTGATTTCTCTTCAGCCCAGTCCAGGACGAACTTCTGCACAGCCACAGTTTTGCCAATGCCAGCTTCACCCTTCATCAAAACGGTCCTGATTTTCTTGCCTTCAAAGATGTCATTACATTTGATCGGTCTTTTATCCCTGATATAAGAATCATGTTCTTCTATGATGTGAGGTTCAATAAAGACATCATTCAGTTTTTGTCTTTCTCCACGTAATATTTCTTCATTCAGACACTGAAACGCCTCCTTCAGTCTCTGTTTGAACATCTTTGAATAGGACTCTGATTCTACAGACAAAAACAAAGTTCAACAACTTGTAGACACATTCTTCACCTTTATTCTTACACATCAGTAACATTGATTTGCACATATTATTACATATACAGAGTCTGTATTCAGGGTTCCCTTTCAAGGGAACTCGAAACTACGTCAAATGACACTTTGGGGAACGCCCCTCAGCGTAACACCTCTGAAGCATGAATGAAACTAGACCAATCCTGATTGGTGTTGCGTCATGACATAATGTGTGACGGCATAAGCGGAAGCTACAAAAAGACACCGGCACACAACAGTGTTAGCTTTCTGTTCTTCAGCAAGCACTCTCTGTAAGTGCAAACTTCACTCGATGTGTGCATCCCTGTCCTCGCTACATCACGGGTGGGGACACACATCATATGTGTGTGCAGTGTTTGGGAGTGCACAGTGGTTAAATTGGCTTTTATAGGGAGGGGGAGCCCTTATTTATGGTGAATGGTCATCATTCAAAATCGCTCCGTAAAATGACTTAATGTGTTTTTACACCAAAGAGGCTCTTTTTCCACTTGGTGCAATTTATTTAAACAGAGAGAAATACTCTACAAATCAGGCAATGGATTTCACCCACGGAAAATGTATGAAAGTGAACATGTTTGAAAATATTGGTTGGTTATGTTGATTTAAAAGAATCAGGGCTAACTTCTTTGTCAGTTTGTTGTTTGATCACACTGACACGCAGGGCTGTACAGGGGTTTTGTAAATAAAAGTTGTCAAAAATTATCTTGCTAGGGGGGTTTGGGGGTATGCCCCCCTAAGAAAATGTTGGTTTTCCTGATCTCGAAATGTCCATTTTAAGGTGTTTTGAAGGCCCCAAAAAAGAAATGGACAACAGTAGCTTTAAAATCTTATGGTCAGTAGCATGAAGTAGGCCTATTTGATCAGATAACAGATTCTTTAACATGAGAATCGATTTAAATGTCTCAATGAGTGATCCACACTATAAAATGGAAAGCAGAATGTTTGTGCATTTGTTGACAATACACAATCACATATTCGAAATAGGAATGTCCTTAAATAGTCAAGTCACCTTTATTTATATAGCGCTTGATAGATATTGTATCAAAGCAGTTTCACAGTGATAACATGAAAATAATACAACACAGATCAATAATATTGTTGAATATTAAATGTGCCCAACTAAGCAAGCTAAAAGCCAAGACAACAAGGCAAATAAGAAATGATTCAAGGATTATTTACATTTCAAACAAACGCCAATGCAATCATTCTGTGCCCAGAGGCAATTAGTGTGAGCATCAAAGATCAGTTTCAGCTACTTTTTCTTTTCTAAATTAATCAATATTTTTGGACTAGCTAATGGTTCAATTGCTCACTTATATAAGTTGCGCAAACACGAACAAGCAGCGTGATACAAACAGTGAAAAGTCAAACACATCTGAGGTAACTTTATATTACAATAATAATACTGGCAATATATTTAATGAGGTGCTTGTGTTGTTAAATCCCCTACTAAAATAAGCTTATAGTAGGGGAGAGCGGGGCATTTGGTTTTGGCTTAATTAATTAAAAAAATATTAGGTCAGATATATATTTTTTTTTTCCACAAGCAACATATCTCTGCTACAAATGAACACTTACAGTTTTTTTCTAGGACCTACCATTTTCGTACAGTTGGACTGAAAGTGAAAGAAGTGCAAATGTTACAACTTACCCCATATGCGGGGTTAATTGTAACAGACAGAGGGGTTAGTTGTAACACTTGTGTGTAACACACATAATTCAGGACTATTTTATTTGTATAGTTTGATATTGATTGTGCATCTGTATAGGTAGATAACCATAAATCCATCCCTTATCCAGTCATCCTCCTATTGTGGATCAATATCATGGATAGAGACAGAAAAGAGCTGCACAGTTTTGCAATAAATAATAATAAATAAAATAATAAAATACTGTAATTGCAATTTAATTAGATTTGTGTGTGGCAGCTGCATGTACAATTATTATTATTAATAATAATAACAGTAATAATAATAATACAAATGAGCTTAAAATAAAAATTTTAAGGGTTTATTGCATTAAAAACAGGCCATATTTTTAATAAATAAACAAGTGATCAAAGCATAGTACACTAAATTTTAAACATTTTAAATTCCAACATTGTTTGTGAAAGTCCAACAAAGTTAAATTTATAAATAATACTCAAACCTGAAAAGTTGTGTGGCTCCGTTTTCATTTGATTATTATTGTACACTTGGCGGCTTGTTTGTAACACTGTGTTACAACTAACCCCGCTGTGTATTACATATTTTAAGCCTAGTTAACAGTTGCTAGGAATTGCTGACATGTTTCAGAACGGTGCTTGAGCCAACAAGACAGTGATTAAGGCAATATAAAGTTAGATTTGGAAACGTATATACACCCAACTCAGAAACCGGAAAAAAACTGTGATGAAAAAATGTACTTTCATGGTGTCAAAACCCTCTTTGTCCAGTATCTTCACGAAATATTATAAAAAACTTTCCACAAATTGATCGCGGGAGACCGTCTTCTGGCAGCGAGAGAAAAATATCCTAAACACAACCTGCATGACCGTAAAAGGTCTGTGTTGCATTTAGCCCCGCGTTTAGGTTGTGCCCCGCGCTGCCCTTTATGTCCAGACTGATCTCATGAAGTAGCGTGTGTATGACACGCCAATTCGTATTTCCATTTTTGGCGTGCTATCAAAACGCATAATCGCCTTTCAGCGTGTTTATGAACGCCGTTGACTTAACGTTATATAAATATATGACTTACCTCAACCCCGTCCCTAAACCTAACCGTCACTGGGGTTAATGGCATTTATGACTGTTCCCTTACCATCCTAGGTAAAAAAAAGATATGACTTACCTCAACCCCGTCCCTAAACTTAACCGTCACTGGGCTTAATGGCATTTATGACTGTTCCCTTACCATCCTAGGTAAAAAAAAGATATGACTTACCTCAACCCCGTCCCTAAACTTAACCGTCACTGGGCTTAATGGCATTTATGACTGGAGATTTGACTGCGTGTTCAGACACGCGGAATGACGCGGACGTTAATGGCGTAGACATATACGCATACACGCGGATACACGCGGATAGCTCAAAATGCGTGGAGATAACATGCCACCTGACTCGAAAGTGGCGTATATGTGTACGCAAAAGTCATGATGTCATGTTATGTCGATCATTTAAAACTTCTATCGACAAACAGCTGTTTATTAGCTTATGTTACATGCATCTTATCTCGCACTGTAGCCTATGCATGTTAACTGAAGCGTGAAGCGTCGCGTTTGGATTCGCGCTCGCTCGGCTTGCGCTTCTGTGAACACAAATCCCACTTGCTTTGATTGGACTCAAACTCAATTTTGAAATTGACGAGCGGTTGAGTGCTGAAGCAGCTCAGACGAGGAGATCAGTTATCATGGGCAAATCATTGAAGCACCAAATTCGAGTTAATATTAGCCAAATATTTCAAAACTTTCATTATATATACTCAACAAAATGTATATATTTGGTGCTGAAGGAGATGGAGCTGAGCTCCGACAGGGTGTGTTGTGAACCCGAGGAGGCGGAGCTGCGCTCCGGTGCGCTCCGCCCCAATTTAACCTATGGGAGGGAGTGCAGCATGCGCAAGCAGCTCTCGAGGGCGGGGATTTTGGGGATGACTTGCCAGTCGCCACTCCATGTCCCCGCATATGAGGAGCTGGTAGAGGTTGTCTCTCGTGCTTTCGCTCATCTTAATATCAATTGGCCACATTGTGAAAAGCAAATTAGACGAGCGCTTCCTGCAGCACACAGTACAACCTCAACTTCAGAGCTTGCCTTTCTTTGCCACAACAAGTCACACTCCTTGCGTATATCCAACCCCCTTGTGCTATAGTAATATTATGTTGCTTTCAATATGAAATGGGCGAAAACATTTTGGCCCATGTAGCAGTGTTTTTGTGGGTAAACCCCAAAAAGCTTTTTCTTCGTTATTAGTCGAAGAGAGTCTTGATTACGATCAGGTGAAGGTATCCGTTCTCAGATTATATGAACTGGTTCCTGAGGCTTATCAAAAATTTCGTAATCTTCGGAAAACTGATGAGACCTACATTGAGTTTGTTCAAGATGTTTGTTCAAGAGGCAGCGTAATTTTGAACGCCCTCTGCCTGTCGACAAATGGCGATGAGTTCTGATAAGTCTGTGTTCTCACCTGTTTGTTTCTATTGTAAGAAACATGGACACATTATTTCTGAGTGTAATGTGCTTAAAAAAGAAAAAAAAATGCCTTTAAACCAGTAGGTTTGTTGATGATGTCCCCACCACTGGTGGATGGATGGATGGATTCGTATCTTTGGCAGGTAATGGTAATTGGCAGGAAATTTTACGCAAACCAGTCAAGATACTTCGTGATACAGACGCTGCTCAGAGTTTTATTCTGGAAGGAATATTGCCGTTGTAGAATGACAGCTTAATTTATACAAGCTTCTTGGTACAGGGTTTTGAAATGGGCCTTGTGAGTGTACCTTTGCACGAGATAGAAATTGAGTCTTCCCTTGTTGTTGGCCACGTTGTTGTTGGAATGCAACCATGTCCTCCAGTTCGACATTTATTTTAGGGAATGACTTAGCGGGAGGAAAAGTTTTTGCTAGCCCTGAGGTTACTGATGTTCCTCTTCCTTGATCTACTGTTGATGCATTAGCTCAGACATATCCTGAGGTTTTTCCCTCATGTGCTGTTACTCGTGCTATGACCCAGAGACTGAAAGATATAAACCTTAGTGAGTCAGAAAATGAGTGGAATTTTGATTTGAGTGATACGATTTAATCAAATAATCAATTGATAATAATTTTTCTTCAAAAAACCTTAATTTCTTTTCGACTGAAGAAAGAAAGACATGGACATCTTGGATGACATGGGGGTAAGTAAATTATCAGTAAAAGTTTTTTTTAAAAATGATCTACTCCTTTAAGCAGGCTGTGGATCAATTGCATATCCAACACTGCACGTCAAGCTGTTACCATCCAGAAAACCAGGGAGCACTCGAAAGGTTCCACCAGACTTTAAAGTCGATGCTGCGTACGTTTTGTCATGAGTTTCAAAAAGATTGGCTTGAAGGGGTGCCTATGGTCATGTTCACAGTGAGGGAGGTAGTGCAAGAGTCGTTGGGCTTTAGTCCGGCCAAGTTAGTGTTCGGGCATACTGTCCGAGGCCCACTGAAGTCATTATTGGTCTCGTGATACAAGTTCAAACAACATTCTTGACTGTTTCGGAATTCCGTTTCAAGCTGCGACATGCGTGTGAGTTGGCTAGAGAGAATTTGGAGATTTCCCAGCAACGAATGAAAAAACTTTTCGTGGTTTTGATCCTGGTGATAAGGTGCTAGTACTGATGCCAGTGCCTGGGTCCGCATTGCAGGCTCAGTATTATGGCCCTTACCAATTGAAAGAAAAGGTGAGTGAGCTTGACTATTGTCATTCTGACGACAGACAGAAGAAAAAAAAACTTGTCTATATCATACTAACATGCTCAAGCCGTACTTTGAGAGACAGTCAGATTCGTCTGGAAGGAGTTTGGCTGTGTAAACTGTTTCATCCACAGACTTTTTGGTGACCAGAGGACAGGTACTGTCCAGTGCTGATGTACCTGAAGCTGAAATGCTGTCCAGTTCTGAATCTTTCATTCGCCCATTGTGTTCTACTGAATCAGACAGCATTGTTGATCTCACTTTTGAGGGAATTCTGAAATGATTCAAACTTTAGACTCACGTTAATCCCATTTGACCATTAACGAACGAACTGACATGACTAATGTCATTCGGACGTACAGCAATTTGTTTTCTGATGATGTTCCTTATAGTACTTCATTGATAGAGCATGATATCGATGTTGGCGATTCACTGCCTATTAAACAGCACACATATCGGCTAAGTCCTAAAAAACGAGTTGCAAAATGAGGTGAACTCCATGCTCGAAAATGACATCGCAGAGCTAAGCTTTAGCCCTTGGAGCTCACCCTGTTTGTTGGTTAAAAAGACTGACAGTACATCTTGTTTGGTACTGATTTTAGACGCATTAATGCTGTGACGAAACCCGATTGTTATCCATTGCCTCGCATGGAGGACTGCGTGGATCATGTTGGAAATGCTAAAATTGATCTGCTAAAGGGTTATTGGCAAGTGCTTTTGTCAGATCGTGCGAAAGAGATTAGTGCGTTCGTAACATCAGATAATTTCCTACATAACAAAGTAATGGCTTTTGGTTTCCAAAATGCCCCGGCAACCTTTCAGAGATTGGTTAATCATGTTATCGAAGGCATACATAATGTTGAAGCATATTTGGACGGCTTAGTCATTTAAAGCGCATCTTGGTCAGAAAATATGGAGCAACTTGATGGAGAACATATGGAGCAACTTGTTCAGTCGTTTGTCTCAAGCTAACCTTCCGATTAATTTGTCTGAGCTACGGTTATCTACTTGGGAAAAATAGTTGGTGGTGGACAAGTTCGACCTGTTGAGTCTAAGGTAGAGAATATCACTCATTATCCAGTGCCCAAGACACACCGCAAGCTTCGTCGATTTTTGGGTATGGTGGGGTACTACAGAAATTTTTGTAGAAATGTTTCTGTTGTTGCTTCTCCTTTACCCGACCTTCTTAGTCCACAAGTGCAGCAGCTGTACTTCTTCAAATGGACGAGGTTGGTGTTGAGCATCCCGTTTGTTATTTCTCTCGGAAATATAATTAACATCAGAGAGGGTACTCTACTATTGAGAAGGAGGCGATCGCCCAAATTCTTGTCATTGAACATTTCAATGTTTACATCGGTTCTGTTTCGCACCTGTTAAATAATAATAAATAATCCCTTAACGATCATGGCTCAGATGAAAAATAATAATCAATGTCTGATGCGTTGGAGTCTATTCCTACATATTTTTGAACTGGACATTCGTCACATTTGGGGTAAGGATAACGTGATTGCTGATGCGTTATCTCGCATCTGATTTAATTGTAGGCTAGTACCTTCTGAGGTAAGATCATTCAATTCCTACAATTAATCATTTAAGGGTGATGGTGTTACGTGGGTGTTTATTGAAACGGTGAGTGTGATCTTTTTTTATACGAGTTCGTAGGTGGAGTCATGGAAGGGATTTTCCCTTAACCACGTAAGTGGAGTGACGTCATGGGAGTTCCGAATATATTTAAGCAGCAACTGCGTTGAAGGCAGGTCTTTCTCTTCCTCACCTGCTCGCTCTTTGTTGCCAGCTGTAAGATCACTCGCCGTCTTCTGCCAACATGCTGGAGGATTTTGAGATGGCTATATGTTGAGCTTAATTTGAGTTCTTTAAACCAGGTTCACCAGTTCACCTTTTATTATTTAGTTTAGAACAGCGAGGGATGCATTTGCCTGGAAGACTTACCTGTTTTCTATTTTTCAGGAGCTAGGTAAGATCTACTGGTTAACTAGGTGTAGTTTCCTGTGGATTCCTGTTTTCTGTTAGCTGCCCTACCTTTCCATTGTTATTTTGTATAGTTATGTCTGTTGATTGTTTATCTTCCTTCCTTCTCTCATTAAAAGTCTATGGCATTATTGACGTCTGAAACGCTACCTTTCGTCTGTGATTTTTTAAATGTGCGGTCCTTGTCTTTTGTTGATTGTGAATGAGCAATTATGGACTCATGGCTGTAACACAAGCTTACCAGTCTGACCTTCTAAAAGATATTGATGAGGGCGAGGGACCAACTCCAGAGGATGTAGCGGAGTTTAGGAAGGCTGCAGACTTGTCTCTCCGAGTCACCAAGGAGACGGCCCGTGACATCGGCCGCTCCATGGCGGCTATGGTGGTCTCGGAGAGACACTTATGGTTAAATCTGTCGGGGATCAAGGATAAGTACAGGGCTTTTCTCCTTGATGCCCCGATTTCACCTTCTGAGGGCCGTCCTGCAGGTTAAAAAGGCTTTGTCTAAGAGGTCCTAGCCAGTCTAGGTTCTCTGTGGGTGGACTCACCCATGGCGGAGCGATCGAGGTTGCCTTCGGGACGCATCCGTTTCCAGCGAACGCACGCTGCACACTGCCCACAGGCTTGCGGCCAGGCAGCAATCGCTTCCGCCCATCGAGATTCATTTTCGGTCAAACCCTGCCGGAGATCCGCTTCAGGGGGTCGACAACAAATCCAGATTGGTACCCAAAGAACCTGGCTCCCCAGGTAAAGTATTTTGATTTGTGGAAAAATCTTATGAATATTTCGCCTTGGGCCTTGTGCTCTATTCAAAAAAGGTATAGGCTGCAGTTCGGTTTCCTCACACCAAGGTTCAACGAGGTGGTCTGGACTGCAGTCGACCCAGTGCAGGGTCGGGTATTGGACCAGGAAGTAAACTCCCTGCTGGTAAAGGAGGCTATAGAACGAAATCCTCCACCAGACAGGGAGTCCATATTTTACAGCCGCTACTTTATAGTTCCCAAAAAGGATGGGGGGTTGCGTCCAATAATAGATCTCAGACACTTGAATCGTTCTCTGAGAAAATTCAGGTTCAAGATGCTCACTATTCTCATCATCGTGAGTCAAATTCAATCCGAAGATTGGTTTGTCTCGATAGATCTAAAAGACGCACACTTCCACATATCCATCCTAAGTTCCTAAGGTTCGCTTTCGGGGGCGAAGCGTACCAATATTGGGTTCTTCCATTCGGCCTAGCTCTCTCCCCTCGCACATTTACCAAATGTATGGATGCAGCTCTATCACTGCTGAGGCTTCAGGGATTCAGGGTGCTCAATTATATCGACGACTGCCTGATTCTGGCCCAGAAGTCAGACCAGTTGCTGGTGTGTTTTGGGTTACCCAAGAAGGGTCCACCCACTTCCAATCAGACCCTCAGCAACTGGATTGTCCAAGCTATTTCTTTGGCCTACCAGGTGCACAGTTTGCCTTCACCTTTGGCCGTGCGGGCTCAATCAACCAGAGGCATGCCGTCCTCTAGAGCCCTCTTCTCGGGGGACCCGATCCAGGAGGTCTGCGATGCAGCAGGATGGGCCACCCCCCAACACCTTTATTAGGTTTTACATTCTGTCTACGCCTGGCACTCTTGTGCTATAGCCCTAAGTGTGCCTGTGAGCAGCTACACACTAGGACAGGCAGGGCGCGTTGTGGCATAGTGGTTACTCGTTCCCCCAAAGTGTCATTTGACGCAGTTCATGTTCCCTTGAAAGGGAACATCTCCGGTTACGACTGTAACCTTTGTTCCCTGAGAAAGGGAACGGAAACTGCGTCCCTTCGCCATGCCTTCCCCTTCCTGGGAGCGCTTGCTTCATCACAGAAGCTAACACTGTTGTGTGCCGGTGTCTCTATGTAGCTTCCCGTCACACATTACGTCATGACGCAACACCAATCAGGATTGGTTTAGTTTCATTCATGCTTCAGAGGTGTTACGCTGAGGGGCGTTCCCCAAAGTTTCATTCGACGCAGTTCATGTTCCCTTTCTCAGTTCTCCTAAATCCAAATCTTCAATTATATAAATCACATTGCACATTTTGTTATTGATTACCTGAGGATTTTTTGCTGCTTTCTGTGTTGATCATGGATGGCTTTATCTGCACCTGTGCAAAATAACAAAAACAGACACATAAATTCCACTATGAGGGACTAAATGACAATCAAATATCTTATTATAAGTTTTAATCCAGGAGAAGACTTTAAACTACAAGATAACACTGAGACCTCCAAACACACAAACACAACACTTGTGCTCATATTGATGTACACATACTGTACAATACTGTACCTTCACTTTGGTATGATCTTCTTCAGGATTCTTCGATTTTGGATTGTTCCTTCAACAGGCAAAAATATATATATTTATTGTAATATAAATTAACAGGTTATTATGAAGGTTACCTTATGCTGTGATTATTCAGATTCCACTTCCAAAATATTTATTCTATTTAAAAATACAACCTAGAATATTCAGCAGGCAATTTTCAGTCCATTTTATTTCACTTTACACATCAGCTTTCACAAATTCAGTTCAAATTCAACAGAAAATGTAACATTGCACATCCGGGAACTGCAGGAATATCAGTAGTGTGCCAATAAATAATCTCCATCTGCTGTTAGTGCAAGTGCGTGTTGACGGAGACCAGTGCAACCGTTAGATAGGGTCATTCATTCACAAAAACTGATTTATAGAAATGGAGCAAGCAGTAAGTATATCTGATGATTATCAGGGCAAGCAAGTATATATAGAAAAGCTACTAAAGACTGTTATGTTTATGTTTAATCCAATGTCTTCACTGTTACTTTCCCTGTATACATGTAAGCAGCTTTCTCGCGTGAATGAGATCATAATGTTATTCCCGATGCTGATGTACAGATCAAACGTTAAATCTGAGGTAACATATTTCTCTCGGTTGTTTAGTTTAACTTTAAACTAACTTAACTTTATATTGTGGTACTGCGCTGCAGTACTGGGGGATCCCCCGGGATTCCACAGCTGTTGGGATATATAAAATACTAATGTAGCTTAATGGACTAATACAGTGATATAAAAGACCAAACTCCCACCTGGAAATGTAGACTATACTATATACTATATATATTAAAGTTAAATGCCTCCACTGGGCAATGATAAGTATGTCCAATACCACTTATATTTATTTGACAATAACTGCTTGCTCCATTCCCTGTTTATATTCTATTCTCTTGTATAGCACACCTGTTCATAAAAACTGTTGTCTATTTTTGTTCATTTATAATTTATATGTACATATGTGTATCTTATTCATTTATCTTTATTCTTTATTGTACTATCTGTGTAGGTACACTCTGTTGTTGTCTCTGTGTACTGGAAGCTTCTGTCACCAAAACAAATTCCTTATGTGTGCAAACATACTTGGCAATAAAGAAATGATTCTTTCTGATTCTGATACAATACAAAAGAGGTAGCCTTCTCTGGGTGAATTTGTCAAATGCAACATTTATAGACACATACAAAATTATTATTATTTTTTTTTTACAGAGTAGGCTATATTTACTCGCTAGCTTGCCAGGCGGCATCTGCATCTCCAACGCATTCCAAAGTTTCCTTGATGTGGCTCTTACAATAGGGAAACATGGAACGAGAGAACGAGACTGAAAGATAGGGAACGTCTTGGATACTGATTTAACCCATGTTCCATGATGGCGAAAACAGAGACACGGGCTGTGTCTGAAATCGCTCCCTATCCACTATATAGTGCACTACAGTATATCAGGTGTCGGCCGGGTGTCTGAATTCTGAGTGAACGACATCATTCCCTACATTCATTCACTACCTTTACCCACAATCCTCTCTGAATTTGAGTGAACATTCGATGTACATTTGCTAAAGCACTATTTCCCACAATCCAATGCAGAGAGAATTGAGCGTGCATGAAAGTGCGGTGCGAGCAAGTTTAAACCAGAGATTACATTACAGCTTTCTTATTCCTGCTTTAACATTTATTTCATGCTAGTTTTATTTTTCTATTTATCATAACTTGAATAGAACATATTAAAACATTGAGACAATATTATATAGATGAATTGTAAAATTAAATGAAATTATATTTATATCGGGTTTTTTTTATTAAAATATACTATTTAGGCATTAACACAATTTAATGTGTTTTACTAATGTGTTTTGATAATTTGTGGCATTGTTGTTAACTCGTTCAACTGTAAAGGGATAGATGATAATTTGGTGGAGGATTTGAAAAATATCCGTTAATCGTCGTTAGGAAGCGTATTCATTCGGATACAATAAGTGTCGCCGGAGGGCGCTCGACGACACGTCATCTGTGAGCGTGTTATTGTTGTTAATATTATTTTATAAAGTAAGTAAGATAAAAGGAGTTTTATTACTACGTGTGACGAAGCCTTTTCTGTGACAGCTCCAACTCTCCGACGCTCAGTGTAAAGTCGCCTTTCCACTGCACACGACATTCGCATACGATTGTCGCATTTCGCCCCCTAGTGTCAGTCGCAATGATCTTTGAAATTGGTCGTGAAGCAACCGTTACCCTCGGATATTCACAATGGTAAAATTAATGATTTTAATGAATGTAATGCATGAATATATCTACACAAAACAAATGACCCTTAATACATCTCAAATAAAAACATAGTTGATTTTATAGAGCTAATCAATATAAATATTGATTTAATCATTATAAATATTTTTTTCAGCTGTAGTTAATTATAACCAACATTTTATAGAAAGAGTGTTTACAGAAAAACATTAAAGAGTTAAAATATTGGTAATTCTAGCCTCACGCACATAGTTTTTATTAAAATACATCACTTTCGGTTGGCCGGTCGCATACGGTCTAGCTGCAGAAGTTCAGATATTTCAACGGATCCAAAGCTCAAATCGGATCCGAATATTCCGCATATGATCAGAACTCCCCACAGCTCCCGTACGACTCTCCATTAGAAATGAATGACTTCCGGTATGACAGCGGTCGTTTGTCGTGTGCAGTGGAAAGGCGGCTTAAACGTCAGCGTCCGAATTCACTCACTTCATCTCGTTCACTCCTTGCAGATATAGTGCACTCAACTGTCATACACTATATAGGGATTAGTGAATGAGTGAACGAGTGAGCAGTTTCAGACACATCTAATATGTCCCTCCTACCACAACCCTGAAACACCTGAATGGCTGGGATCCCCGTCTCAGCATAAACCTGAATGAGTGGATGAGTGCTGTAATTTCATATATCCGAATGTACGGGGGATGGCTTGGCGTGCAAATTCCACTCGTCAACCCCAACGGCCATTTTTCTGCAACCCAGAAGTGATTGGGATACGCCATTTGTCGGTCAGATTTCTTTTAATTGATTTACACACACAATGAGGTCAAACCCCATGTGTAGGTCAAAACAGCGCAAACATAGTCAAGTCCTCCACCACACCATTTCCTCCACTATTCCATTCATTAACTATCTATATTATGTTGTTGAGGGTGGTTAGCTCAGAGCTCAAGCCAAGCCTTGGGATCAAGCCTTAAAAGACAATAAACCAAGTTAGATTACCATTCTGACTAATCGTTTTACTTGTGAAATATATATGTAACATAATAATTAAAAATCCTATTAAGTCAGAATCAAAATGTGTAAGTTTGCCTTTTATTTCATGTCTGTAGCTCTGAGTTCATCGATATGCAAGTGAACTACTAAATAAAAGTGGAATCTGCGACAAACCCAGACAGCAAACTGACATTGAATCAATGTGGAAACGACGTCTCTCATGACATCGAAACAACGTTGATTTTTCTCATCGAATTAACGTTGAACCAACGTCAGACGCGGCATTCTTCCAAGCTAAATGAAAATCGAAAATTGGTTTGCTTTCATAACGTTGAAACAACGTTGATTTCAAGTTGATTTTCCGTTAGTTTTGAAAGAATGACGCGTCTGACGTTGGTTCAACATTAATTCGATGAGCAAAACAATTTCAGATCAACGTTGTTTCGATGTCATGTTTCCACGTTGATTCAAATGTCAGTTTGCTATCTGGGAATGGATGTCCTATAAAATACTAAGATGACAATTTTCCTCCCCCCACATTATAAATATTACTTACAACTAATTGGCCATGGTGGAAAGCAATTGATTGTTGGTTCTATTGTAAATAATTGAAAATTTGAGCTTTTAGATACATCTGACAAAACTGTTAAACATCTCAATACATGAAAGAAAACTGATCTGTCAAGATATTTATATATAAGTTTCACAGAATAAAGACATACAAGTTTGATTGATGTGAGAACGAGTGTACTGTATTATAGGTGTTTGTTTCAGTATAAACATTCCAGTTTACACGTAAATGAACATGTAATTAAACTGTACACCACTCTGTTAAATGTCTCAGCTAGATGGAAATTTCGTCAATATTTGCTGATTATAAACAAGGCATAACAAGACTCTCCTACCTTACTACTTCACTGGTGTCTGTTTGTGGATCATTTGTCTTTTCATCTTGTCCTGAAGAAGCAACCTCTTTTGTCACTGTCACATGAAAATGAAAAACAATTTTTAGTATTTTTGAAATTATACAGTTTGATAACATATTTTTTTTCCCATTTTTGAGTGGAACTTGAAGCAGCATTATGATGTTCAGGCCATGGGATGGCTTCTGTGTGAGCCAGTGTCTGAAAACATGTGGAAAACAAACCAATTGTATGGGCTATGTGCACAACTGTAGTTTCGAACTTCCGCTTTTGTCAGAAGTCGGCATATCAGTTTCCAGTCTAGGACTAGTCATCCGCATCCACTAATAAACAGACAAGATGAGTGCTGCTGTTGTACGAAAAAAAGAGTTCTTAAACACATCTAAGTTTCTAAGAACTGTAGGTGGATCTAACGTCCATTTCACACCCGTTTGCAGTGTGTGTTGCGGTGCAGGAGCGTGCTGTTAGTGCGTTTACATATTATGATGCATTTGCACAGTGAATAACGTCTCGGGTTATGACTATAACCCTTGTTCCCTTAGAAGGGAACGAGACACTGCGTCGAGAATCGACACTTTGGGGACGCTCCCTAAGCATGCGCCTCTGAAGTATGAATGAAACTAATCCAATCCTGATTGGTGTTGCGTCGTGACGTAACATGTGACGGCATACCCGGAAGTATAAAAGTGACGCTGTCACAACACACGCTAGCCTCACGATGAAGCAAGACGCTCTAAGGCCTAAAGGGGGCGTGGCAGAACGACGCAGTGTCTCGTTCCCTTCTCAGGGAACAAGGGTTAAAGTCATAACCCGAGACGTTCCCTTTCGAGGGAACTCTACACTGCGTCGAGAATCGACACTTTGGGGAACGAGTGCCCACTAGGCCACGCACCGAATAGGCCTGTCCTGGAGTGAAACTGTTTAGGCACTCAGCAAGGACTGAGCACGTGTGCACCGGGCGTACTAGGAAGGTGGAGACTGTAAATTTTTATGAAAGTATGTGGGGTAGCCAAGCCGGCTGCCTCGCAGATCTCCTGAAGAGGTACTCCCGAAAGAAGGGCCCTAGAGGAAGCCATGCCTCTAGTTGAATGTGCCCATAAGGTAAAAGGTGAAGGCAAACGGCGCACCTTGTAAGCCTCAGTAATAGCCTGGACGATCCAGTTGCTAATAGTTTGTTTGGTTGCCGGGAGCCCCCTCTTAGGTGACCCAGAACATACTAGTCCAATTGTTCCGACCTTCTCCAAGAAGAGAACCCCTCAAGGTACAAGCTCAAAGCTCTGAAGGGGCAGAGCAAGTGAAGCCTCTCCACTTCCGCCGACACATGAGGTGGAGGATGGAATGCCTGAAGGACTATAGAACGAGCCATATTCGATGGAACTTTAGGCACGTAGCCCGGACTCGGGTGTAAAAAGGCCTTCACTCTGCCAGGGGCAAACTCCAAGCAAGCTGGCATTACTGCCAGGGCTTGGAGATCTCCCACCCTCTTAAGTGAGGTAATTGCTAAGAGAAAAGCCATTTTCAGTGTTAAGTCCTTAGGCGAAGCCGACTCTAAAGGTTTGAAGGGGGCCAGGGATAACCCCTCCAGAACTATTGCCAGGTCCCAGGCAGGAACCCTGGACCTGGCTGCCGGCCTCATCCTCCAAGTACCAAGGAGAAACCGAATGACCAACTGGTGCCTCCCCAGAGGCCCATTACTTAACGGTGCATGGAAAACCGCAATGGCAGCCACGTACACCCTAAGCGTGGACGGGGAGAGACCCTCAGAGAAACGATCTTGGAGAAATTCCAGAACTGAAGCCACCGGGCAGTTTACTGGATTTAACCCAAGTTCTCTACACCAAGTGACAAACACATTCCACTTGAGGTCATATAATCTCCTGGTGGATGGAGCCCTAGAGCTAAATATGGTTTCAATCACTCCAGCTGATAGACCAGCATTTAGGTACTGAACCCCCTCAGAGGCCAGACCCACAGCTTCCACAGCTCTGGGTGAGGGTGGAAGCTTGTGCCCTCCGCCTGAGACAACAGATCCCTCCTCAGAGGAATCTGACATGGCGGAGCTATCAGGAGTGATACTTCTTATGTCTGAAAACCATACTCGGGTCGGCCAAATTGGGGCAACCAGGAGTAGACTGATGCCCTCCTGACGGACCCTCTCCAGGACTCCCGGCAGCAGAGTGATCGGGGGAATGTGTACAGGCAAAGCCTCGGCCAGGCCTGTACTATGGCATCCAATCTCAGTGGGGCTGGATGTGAGAGGGAGAACCAAAGTGGACAGTGGGACGTCTCTCGAGACGCAAATAGATCCACTTCCATCGGTCCAATACACTCCCAAATCAACTTCACCACCTCCGGATGAAGTCTCCATACCCCGGGCCTCAGCCCCTGTTTCTTTTAATCCCAATTTTTTAATATGGCCAAGAACGACATCTTGATGCCGAACTGCCATCTCCCGAGACTGGGCCAGAATAAGCCAGTCGTCGAGATAATTCAATATCCGAATCCCTTGAAGTCTCAGTGGAGCAAGGGCTACGTCCATACACTTGGTAAATGTGCGGGGAGAGAGTGCTAGGCCGAACAGAAGGACCCGACGTCTTTTAGATCTATCGTGACAACCAGTCCTCGGACCTGATTTGACTCACGATTGTTGGAATGGTCAACATTTTGAATTTGAACCTCCTCCTCAACAGGATGTTTGCCCCCTGATTCTGAACCCCTGGAATATACATTGCTCTGATAGAGAGTATTTTCCCTTGGGACCAAAGGATAATCTGATGCGCCAGTCTGCACAGAGGGCGCGATCTGATTCCCCCTTGTCGGTTCAGATAGGCTAACACTGACCACACTAGGACGTGGTGACCTTTGATGTCTGGGAGGAAGCTCCTCAAAGCCCTGAACACAGCCATCATCTCTAGGCAGTTTATATGCCAAGAAAGATGATGGTCCTGCCACAGACCCCTGGCAAACGGTCATCCATGACCGCACCCCAGCCAGTGTGGGAGGCGTCTGTCGAAACGGTTTCCCGGCGACATGACACTCCCAACACTGGCCCTTGGGGTAGGAACCAAGGTTTCTTCCATACTCTCAGAGAACGAAGGCATCTGCGCGTTACTCTGATCATACGAAGCGGATTCCCCTCGGGAGAAAACCCCTTGGTTTTTAACCACCACTGAAGGGGCCTCATGTGTAGCAGGCCCCAAAGGAATGATGTTGGATGTCACTGCCATGAGGTCCAGCATTCTTTGAAATTGCTTTACAGTGATGGCCTGGCCTAGCTTTACCCTGGATACCATCGCCAAAATTGACTCGATTACGTGCGGGAGACATGCGTGCCTGCATCGTAATCGAGTTCCATACGACTCCCAAAAATGTCATACACTGGGATGGTTCTAGCACACTCTTCTTTGCATTGAGTCTCAACCCCAATTTCAGAATGTGGCCAAGGACGACATTTCGATGCCGAACTGCCATTTCCCGAGACTGAGCCAGAATGAGCCAGTCGTCGAGATAAATCAATATATGGATGTCTTGAAGTCTCAGTGGAGCAAGGGCTACATCCATTCATTTGGTGAATGTGCAGGGAGAGAGTGCTAGGCCGAACGGAAGAACCCGATATTGGTAAGCTTCGAAAGCGAACCTATCTCCTGTGACATGGAAGGATGGAGTGAAAATTGGCATCTTTTAGATCTATCGTGACAAATCAGTCCTCGGATCTGATCTGACTCACGATTACTGGAGTTAACCTTTCGAACCTGCACCTCCCTATTCAGAGATTGGTAAAAAACCCAGAGATCTAGAATTGGCCTTAACACCCCATCCTTCTTCGGAACTATAAAGTACCGACTGTAAACCCCGGACTCCCTGTCTGATGGAAGAACACGTTCAATGGCTTCCTTTAGCAGCAGAGTTTGAACTTCTTGTTCCATCACCTGAGCCTGCTCTGGGACCACTGTAGTCTGTACCACCCCAGAGAACTTGGGGGGCGGTGTGCGAACAGCAGTCTGTACCCTGATTCTATTATATGCAGGACCCATGCAGATATGTTGGGAAGATGATACCATGACTCTACAAAATTTAATAGGGGTACCAGCCTCTCGAGACTTACCTCTGGTGTTTTTTTGTTTTTTTTTCTCGACTCCCTGAAGCGGAATACTGGCAGGCTGTAGTCGATACGGACGTTTTGACCATAAACGATGCTTCGTTATAATATTTTCGCTGGAAACCGATGCGGCCCAAAGCGTCGCTGACGGTGGGCAACATACATCGTTTCCTATTTAAAAATATTCAGGCCCCATATAGATATATTGGAAGGTGTAGCTATTCTACAAAATCTACTAAGGGAACCAGCCCCTTGAGACCGACCTCGGGTGTCTTTCGAGCACTATTCTCGACTTCCTGAAGCGGATGACCGGCAGGAAAAAGTTGAGAAAAATTTCGGTCGAGAAACCATATTCGGGGTGAACGCCACAGTGTGCGTTTGCTGGAAATCGATGTAGCCCGAAACGTGTAAAACGGCGGGACAACATATATATTTTATATATATAGTTTATATATATATATATATATATATAGTTTATATATATATATATATATATATATATATATATATATATATTTATTTTCTTTATTCATAAACCTGTCGACGATTGAAGTTACAGCGTCGGAGAACAGGCCAGTTTTCCTTATTGGAAAGTAAACTCGTAATTTTCACGAGAGAAAATTTGCCTCGGCAAACGAGAGATCTGAGTCACTAAAGTTTCCGTATTGCAATGCAGACCTTAAATCTACGCGCTGCCTCGACAAACGCGGGATCCCAGTCTCAGAATCTTTATCGCAATAATTTAGGACACTGGGTTTGGAAACATGGGATGAATGCGGTTCATCCCACGATCTCATGATCTTTTAGTGGAGATCGGGGAAAAACGGCAAACCCTGAGGCTGTGACCCGTGCCACATGAAACGCTCATCCAAATTATTTAAACTTGCGTTCCCTGCTCATTTTGTGGCCAGCTGAAGTTCAGTCTGACCACGGCACAAGTCACAACCTCACCAGTTCCTCATATGCTTGGCCGTGAACTGGCGCGCCTAACTCACGGTCATCCGCATCGATACTGAGCACGTCTACTTCCTCGGAAGCAGAGAGCCCGAGTATCGGAACCTGATCGTGGTCAGAAGAAGCCGCGGCGCGGACTTCTGCACCACTCACAGGGGCTATGGGATCATCAGACGATGAATGAGAAAGTGCCTCAGCAATCTCATTCTCGTCTGCAAGATCCCGCTGCGAACCCCACGATCTCAATCGTCGCGCCTTCTCAAGGGACGTGGGACCAGAACCGTAGGGAACGCAACCCTGACCGTGCTCATCAAAGCACGCCAGCCCGGGAGCGCAGCACTCTAATAGGAAGTGCTTTACAGTCTGCTGTGCTCCCAAACAATTTACACACAAAGCATGTGCGTCCCCACCCGTGATATAACGAGGGCAGAGATGCACACATCTTTTAAATTGTTCGCTGGCCATTTCTAGTTCAAACTGAGTGACAAACAACACCAAATAAGACAGACAGTTCTTCAACACAGAGCGCTTGCTGAAGAGCGAAAGCTAGCATGTGTTGTGACAGCGTCACTTTTATACTTCCGGGTATGCCGTCACATGTTACGTCACGACGCAACACCAATCAGGATTGGATTAGTTTCATTCATACTTCAGAGGCGCACGCTTAGGGAGCGTCCCCAAAGTGTCGATTCTCGACGCAGTGTAGAGTTCCCTCGAAAGGGAACTGATCCGCGGCTGTACAACAAACACATACTTAATATTTTTACTATTTTTTGCGCGTCGATCAAAATGTCTATTTTGTGCAGCCACTGCGCACGAAGGTTGGTGTTTATCAGGAAGCAGTAGAAGCTGAAATGGCTGTTAGCGACTTGAAGCAGAGCAAAGTGCCGCACAGCAGTCTTCTAACGCATTTAAACAGGTTAGGGCTTTCACTTTTCACTGATGTGGTATACATAACAGCAGCACAGCGAACGTTTCCACACCGAATCTATTTCTGCTGTGCTGCAAACGCTGGTGGTCAAAATGATAGATTGACCAGAAATGTAGTAATTTCACCATAAATGCGTTTAATTAAATAAAATGTAGTAATCTCACCATAAATGCACATTTAATCAAGGAAAACGGACGTTTGATCCACTACAGTTCTTAGAAACTTAGATGTGTTTAAGAACTCTTTTTTTCGTACAACAGCAGCACTCATCATGTTTGTTTATTAGTGGATGCAGATGATCAGTCGTAGACCGGAAACTGATACGCCGACTTCTGACAAAAGCGGAAGTTCGAAACTACAGTTGTGCACATAGCCCATAGGCCGGTCAGGAAGGCTTTAGGAAGTCTTTTGTTCATGTGTGTGTGGAAAGTTCATTATGTAAGTTGGGAGTTGAAAACAATAATTTTAAGTTCTACCCATAGACTGTAAAAAAAAAAAAAAAAAAAAAAAAAAAAAATGGACGACACGCCTTCACTCTCTTCTGTTGGTGAAAAGTGAAGCTGCCAAAAGTCCTAATATGGCCGTAGTGAACGCGGGACCCGAGTCGCACAGTAGTGAGCGTGAAGTGAAGCCGCGATATCAAAGTCCCGCCCTCACTCTCACAGAAACATTAGTACAGTTTACTGCAGAACAGCTCATTGTGTCAATGTGTAATAAACAGTTATGGACATGTAGAAATTAAAGCTGAAGCTCCAATATCCTCCTGGAAATCCCCCAAAAGTCTGTTGATGCCTCAGTGACTACTTTGTTAAGAGAAGCTGTCTATCACAGCTGTCAATGATGACGTCAACATTCCCATTATTATAGCATCAAATAACTCCAAACTTTTTAAAAAACAAACACTTAAACTGACATCAGTATGATAAAAACTACCTAAATGACAGAAAAAATCTCAAAGAATATTCTTTCATCTTCAAAGAATATTTCGCCTTGGGCCTTGTGCTCTATTCAAAACAGGTATAGGCTGCAGTTCGGTTTCCTCACACCAAGGTTCAACGAGGTGGTCTGGACTGCAGTCGACCCAGTGCAGGGTCGGGTATTGGACCAGGAAGTAAACTCCCTGCTGGTAAAGGAGGCTATAGAACGAAATCCTCCACCAGACAGGGAGTCCATATTTTACAGCCGCTACTTTATAGTTCCCAAAAAGGATGGGGGGTTGCGTCCAATAATAGATCTCAGACACTTGAATCGTTCTCTGAGAAAATTCAGGTTCAAGATGCTCACTATTCCCATCATCGTGAGTCAAATTCAATCCGAGGATTGGTTTGTCTCGATAGATCTAAAAGACGCATACTTCCACATATCCATCCTAAGTTCCTAAGGTTCGCTTTCGGGGGCGAAGCGTACCAATATTGGGTTCTTCCATTCGGCCTAGCTCTCTCCCCTCGCACATTTACCAAATGTATGGATGCAGCTCTATCACTGCTGAGGCTTCAGGGATTCAGGGTGCTCAATTATATCGACGACTGGTTGATTCTGGCCCAGAAGTCAGACCAGTTGCTGGTGTGTTTTGGGTTACCCAAGAAGGGTCCACCCACTTCCAATCAGACCCTCAGCAACTGGATTGTCCAAGCTATTTCTTTGGCCTACCAGGTGCACAGTTTGCCTTCACCTTTGGCCGTGCGGGCTCAATCAACCAGAGGCATGCCGTCCTCTAGAGCCCTCTTCTCGGGGGACCCGATCCAGGAGGTCTGCGATGCAGCAGGATGGGCCACCCCCCAACACCTTTATTAGGTTTTACATTCTGTCTACGCCTGGCACTCTTGTGCTATAGCCCTAAGTGTGCCTGTGAGCAGCTACACACTAGGACAGGCAGGGCGCGTTGTGGCATAGTGGTTACTCGTTCCCCCAAAGTGTCATTTGACGCAGTTCATGTTCCCTTGAAAGGGAACATCTCCGGTTACGACTGTAACCTTTGTTCCCTGAGAAAGGGAACGGAAACTGCGTCCCTTCGCCATGCCTTCCCCTTCCTGGGAGCGCTTGCTTCATCACAGAAGCTAACACTGTTGTGTGCCGGTGTCTCTTTGTAGCTTCCCGTCACACATTACGTCATGACGCAACACCAATCAGGATTGGTTTAGTTTCATTCATGCTTCAGAGGTGTTACGCTGAGGGGCGTTCCCCAAAGTTTCATTCGACGCAGTTCATGTTCCCTTTCTCAGTTCTCCTAAATCCAAATCTTCAATTATATAAATCACATTGCACATTTTGTTATTGATTACCTGAGGATTTTTTGCAGCTTTCTGTGTTGATCATGGACTGCTTTATCTGCACCTGTGCAAAATAACAAAAACAGACACAGAAATTCCACTATGAGGGACTAAATGACAATCAAATATCTTATTATAAGTTTTAATCCAGGAGAAGACTTTAAACTACAATATAACACTGAGACCTCCAAACACACAAACACAACACTTGTGCTCATATTGATGTACACATACTGTACAATACTGTACCTTCACTTTGGTATGATCTTCTTCAGGATTCTTCGATTGTGGATTGTTCCTTCAACAGGCAAAAATATATATATTTATTGTAAAATAAATTAACAGGTTATTATGAAGGTTACCTTACGCTGTGATTATTCAGATTTCACTTCCAAAATATTTATTCTATTTAAAAATACAACCTAGAATATTCAGCAGGCAATTTTCAGTCCATTTTATTTCACTTTACACATCAGCTTTCACAAATTCAGTGGTTCAAATTCAATAGAAAATTTAACATTGCACATCCGGGAACTGCAGGAATATCAGTAGTGTGCCGATAAATAATCTCCATCTGCTGTTAGTGCAAGTGCGTGTTGACTGAGACCAGTGCAACCGTTAGATAGGGTCATTCATTCACAAAAACTGATTTATAGAAATGGAGCAAGCAGTAAGTATATCTGATGATTATCAGGGCAAGCAAGTATATATAGAAAAGCTACTAAAGACTGTTATGTTTATGTTTAATTGTTCATTAATTGCACATTTACAGTATAATTTATATATACATATGTGTTTCTTATTCATTTATCTTTAATCTTTATTGTACTCTCTGTATAGGTAGGCACTGTTGTTGTCTCTGTGTACTGGAAGCTTCTGTTACCAAAACAAATTCCTTATGTGTGCAAACATACTTGGCAATAAAGAAATGATTCTTTCTGATTCTGATACAATACAAAAGAGGTAGCCTTCTCTGGGTGAATTTGTCAAATGCAACATTTATAGACACATTCAAAATAATTTTTTTTACAGAGTAGGCTATATTTACTCGCTAGCTTGCCAGGCGGCATCTGCATCTCCAACGCATTCCAAAGTTTCCTTGATGTGGCGCTTTCAATAGGGAAACATGATAGGGAGATGACAATAGGGAGACTGAAAGATAGGGAACTTCTTGGATACTGATTTATGTCATGTCAGTCTTATGCACACCCCTTCAGGGATAGATGATAATTTGGTGGAGGATTTGAAAAATATCCGTTAATCGTCGTTAGGAAGTGTATTCATTCAGATATAATAACAGTCGCCGGAGGGCGCTCGACAACACGTCATCTGTAAGCGTGAGAGTTACAATTTCAGTCGATGAAACTACAAAGATGGCACGGAGGTATATATAATTACAAAATAAAGTCGTTATGATTGTTACTGTTGTTAATATTATTTTATAAAGTAAGTGACGTAAGATAAAAGGAGTTTTATCAGTACGTGTGACGAAGCCTTTTCTGCGACAGCTCCAACTCTCCGACGCTCAGTGTAAACGTCAGCGTCCGAATTCACTCACTTCATCTCGTTCACTCCTTGCAGATATAGTGCACTCAACTGTCATACACTATATAGGGATTAGTGAATGAGTGAACGAGTGAGCAGTTTCAGACACATCTAATATGTCCCTCCTACCACAACCCTGAAACACCTGAATGGCTGGGATCCCCGTCTCAGCATAAACCTGAATGAGTGGATGAGTGCTGTAATTTCATATATCCGAATGTACGGGGGATGGCTTGGCGTGCAAATTCCACTCGTCAACCCCAACGGCCATTTTTCTGCAACCCAGAAGTGATTGGGATACGCCATTTGTCGGTCAGATTTCTTTTAATTGATTTACACACACAATGAGGTCAAACCCCATGTGTAGGTCAAAACAGCGCAAACATAGTCAAGTCCTCCACCACACCATTTCCTCCACTATTCCATTCATTAACTATCTATATTATGTTGTTGAGGGTGGTTAGCTCAGAGCTCAAGCCAAGCCTTGGGATCAAGCCTTAAAAGACAATAAACCAAGTTAGATTACCATTCTGACTAATCGTTTTTCTTGTGAAATATATATGTAACATAATAATTAAAAATCCTATTAAGTCAGAATCAAAATGTGTAAGTTTGCCTTTTATTTCATGTCTGTAGCTCTGAGTTCATTGATATGCAAGTGAACTACTAGATAAAAGTGGAATCTGCGACAAATGGTTGTCCTATAAATACTAAGATGACAATTTTCCTCCCCCCACATTATAAATATTACGTGCAACTAATTGGCCATGGTGGGTAGCAATTTATTGTTGGTTCTATTGTAAAAAAATAAATAATTGAAAATTGGAGCTTTTAGACACATCTGACAAAACTGTTAAACATCTCAACACATGAAAGAAAACTGATCTGTCAAGATATTTACAGTGATGTGAATAAGTTTGGACACCCATGCTAAAGTTGCCTAAAAAGAGGAATAAAAAAAATCATCTTTTGGATATTGATCTTGCCTTAATTAGAAAAATGAGGAAAAATCCAACCTTTAAGGACACACATTTTCTTTGTGAATGAATAAGGTATCATAAATAAATAAATGTTCTCTTACGAGAGGTTCTCTCGTATTGCGTAAGCTAGCTTACACTACGGGAAAGATTCATCTTTGCTGAGAAGTTGAAGCCAAAAAATAATTCCATAATTTGTAATCATTGTCAACGCAGTATCTCTGAGGCAGACCATGAGCGGGGCTAGCTAGCAGCTCATTGGTTCGCTCAGAGAAAATGCACGAGCCTATGGGAGAGCGCCGCTGAGCCCGCGGCCAATGAGTGGACGGCGGTCGCTCATTGCGTCAGAGCCCGCCGAAAGGGGCGTGGCTATAGTGTATAAAACTGGCTCTCCCAGGCTCAGTCGTTGATTTTTCATCCTTCAGCGAGCTACACGCATCCGCTGTCATGGGAAGAAGCCGCCGTCGTCGAGAAGGCACCTTCTAGCAAGCTCCGGAGACTGAGGAAGCCGGCCGTCTGCCACCTTCAGCCATCCTGCAAGCTAGCGCCGTCCGACGCCGTATCCGTTTCCTTTTTCCATTCACTGCGCTCTCTGCCTCGGAGTGGAACACGCAGAGCTCGCCCTCGCCAACGGAGGATGCGACCACTGCGAAGACCTGCCTCTGTCTTCCCTGTGGGCATGACTTCAGGTGGTCAAGACCGCTCTCGCGCCGCCTCTCACTTCGCCGCGGAAGAAGAAACGCCGCTCCCAGAGGCCGCCGGAGCCCCCTGCGGATCCATGCGGGCCGCCGTTGCCGCCCACCGACCGCTGCGGGGACCCGCGCCGGCATTGAGGAGGAATTATTGCGTCTCCTCTCACAGGCCGTCGACCGCCTGGGACTCGAGTGGTCGCCTCCCCCCGAGCAACCACTGAACCGCATTGATGGTAAATTCCTGCACCGGCGCCCGGCCCCCGCCTGCAGTCGGGCTGCACCATTGCTGCCTGAGCTTCACAATGAGCTCACTAAGTCCTGGAATGCCCCTCTTTCGGCTCGAAACCGCTCCGACGTGTCCGCCTTGCTGCGCTCGGTGGACGGAGCTGCCGAGAGGGGATATACTGCCATGCCGCCCGTCGAGGACCTGGTCGCCGCTCACCTTTGCCCGCCCTCTGCTAGATGGCGGTCTTCCCCTACGCTTCCTTCGAAAGCGTGCAGAGCGTCCTCCACTTTTCACGCTCGTGCTTACGCCGCCGCCGGACAGGCCGCTTCAGCGCTGTACTCCATGTCTTTCCTCCAAGTGCTACAGAGCGACATCTTGTGCGAGATGGCAAGAGCGGTAGGAACCCGCCCATCCTTTTGGATTTGAGAAGCACGACGGACCTCTCCCTTCGCGCAACTAAAGCCGCCGCACAAGCCCTGGGGAGATGTATGGCCACCCTCTGTGTCGCTGAGAGACACTTGTGGCTCACGCTTGCCGACATGGGAGATTCAGAACACGCCGTGTTCCTCAACGCGCCTATCTCCCCGACCGGCCTCTTCGGATCTCATCGCCGACCGCTTCTCCGAGGTACAGAAAGCCACCCAGGCCATGAACTTGTTCCTGCCCCGCCGCGCCAGCACTTCTGCAGGCCGCTTTCACGAGCCCCCTGCCAGAACCCCGCAACAGCGCCCGCCTCAGCAAGCTCAGCAACCCCAGCATAGACAGGGCGGCTGCCCTCGCTCTCGCTCTGACAGCCGCCGCAGACAGCCTCCTCCCCGGGGGCCTCGACCCAAGATCACGCTGAAGCCTGATCAGCAAAAGTCTGCCTAGCACAGCTGAGAAAAAGACGGCCCTCTCCCGCTGCGGCCGGACCGCCGTCAAAGTTTCGTCCTCTGCTAGTCCCCGACGCCTCGCCGACTACAGTAGTGTTTACCGCCACAAACAAGCCGGTTTCCCTGCCCGCTTGTGAGCGACACAAAGCCGTTTTTACGGCTACCCAGAGAGTTCACAAAAAGAGCATAAAAGCCTCAAGTGTAAAAAATGTGCCCACAAGCATGTGTTCACTCATACACACAAGCACCATATGCCCCGTGTCTCCCACAGAGCCCATTCTCACAGAGCGGCCACTGACCGCTCTGGTAGCAGAAAACAAACACGCCCACGAGCCCATGCGCGTGTCCCCCCTCTGCTCGCTCTGTCTCACGGCCCAAAAACACGGCCTCTCTGAGTGTAAGTCCCGTTGCCACACACACTCTAAGCATGCCCACACACAGTGTCCAGCCCGCTATGTGCAGCAATCAGGGCGAAATTGCCATTCAACCGCTAGCCGCATGCTGCGAAGCGTGGGAAGCCATCCACGGCATCTCCCCGTGGGTTTTAAGCATCATAAAGAATGGCTATCTATAACAGTTTCGTCGCCGCCCACCCCGTTCGCGCGTTCGGCTCGAATCCGCTGTCAGCCCAGCTGCGATGAGCACGCTCCGCTCAGAAATAGCGAAGCTGCTGCAGAAGGGCGCAATAGAGAGAGTTCCACCATCTATGACCGAGTCGGGGTTTTACGGCCGTTATTTCCTTGTTCCCAAGAAAGACGGCGGCCTCAGGCCGATCTTAGATCTCAGGGTTTTGAACAAAGCGCTCATGAAGAGACCGTTCAAAATGCTCACAGTCAGAAAACTCCTCGCGCACGTCCGCCAGGGGGACTGGTTCATCTCTCTAGACCTGAAAGACGCCTATTTTCAGATCCAGATAAATCCTCGTCACAGGCCATTCCTACGTTTCGTCTTCGAGGGTCAGGTTTACCAATATGCCGTTCTCCCGTTCGGCCTATCCTTAGCACCCCGTACGTTCACGAAGTGCATGGATACAGCGCTCGCCCCCCTGCGGAGTCAGGGGCTGCGCATATTAAACTATCTGGACGACTGGCTGATTCTAGCACAATCCCAGACGGAGCTTCTGTCGCACCGTGCAGTTCTCCTCAACCATCTGAAAGCGCTGGGACTCTCTGTCAACTGGACAAAGAGCTCTCTCCAGCCCAGTCAAACTATTTCATTCCTCGGAATAGATTTGAACTCTATCACGATGAAGGCTCGCTTATCCACACAGCTCGCGCGCCGTGTTCAGCATCTAGCCACCTCCTTTCGGATGGGTACCCACACATCCCTGAAATCCTTTCAGAGGATGCTGGGTTATATGGCCTCAGCCTCCGCTGTGCTACAGCTGGGTCTCCTGCACATGCGCCCCCTTCAACTCTGGTTAAAGAGCCGCGTATCCCACCGCGAGTGGACTATGGGCCGCCAGATTATCAAGGTTACACAGACATCTATCACTGCACTGCAACCATGGTCAGTAACCGATTGGTTTCAGAGGGGCGTTACCATGGGAACCTTTTCTCGCCAAAAAGTCATCTCGACAGATGCATCCAACACGCGTTGGGGTGCGGTCTGCGAGGGCTCACCGGCCGCCGGCCAGTGGTCGAGCCAGGAGAGTTTCCTACACATAAACTGTCTGGAAACGCTCGCGGTCGAGAACGCGCTGCTGCTTTTCCTCCCGCGCATACACGGTCACCACGTCCTGATTCGCTCAGACAATATGGTGGTGTCCTACATCAACCGTCAGGGCGGGGTCAGATCCAAGAATCTCTTTCATCTGACGCGCCGCATCCTATTGTGGTCCCAGAGTCACCTGCTTTCGCTCAGAGCGACGCACGTACCGGGCCATCTGAACGACGGTCCAGACATGCTGTCCAGGAACCTTGTCTCCCCCGGAGAATGGTCCCTGCACACTCAAACAGTTCTAACATTGTGGCGCCTATTCGGCAGAGCAGAGATAGTTCTTTTCGCGTCAGAAGAGAACGCTCACTGCCTGATATTCTTTTCAAAGAGCGAGGACGCGTTAGCCCAAGATTGGCCCCACCGCCCGCTCTATGCTTTTCCCCGATCTCTCTGCTACCGCAGGTCATTCAGAGAATCAGGGACACACGCCACCCGGTGCTCCTCATAGCCCCGCGCTGGGAGAATCAGATTTGGTTCCCGGAGCTCACGCAGCTGTCGCAGACAGCCCCGTGGCCCATTCCAATCAGAGCAGATCTCCTCACTCAAGCTCGCGGCACGATCTGGCATCCCCATCCACAGCGCTGGGCGCTTCATGCATGGGTGACCAACGACTACTCGTCGATTTGCCAGAAGGAGTTCTGAACACGATCAAACATGCCAGAGCGGAATCTACTAGAAAGCTCTATGCTGCAAAATGGTCTGTTCTCTAGATGGTGCACAGACAAAAACTTGGACCCACGGACGTGCAAGGTTTCGTCTTTGCTCGTGTTCCTTCAGGAGATGCTGGATAAGGGCAGGTCCCCATCCACTCTAAAGGTTTACGTGGCAGCCGTTGCGGCGTTCGCTGAACCCCGGCGCGCCCAGTCTTTGGGCAAAGACGAGCTAATCATCCGCTTCCTCAGGGGAGCCAGAAGGATGAACCCCCCTCGCCCCCCCCTATGGTGCCGGTCTGGGATCTTTCTATAGTTCTAGAAGCTTTGAAAGCCCCACCGTTTGAACCACTCGAGTCCGTGGATCTAAAATATCTCTCGCTAAAAAACATTTTTCTGACTGCCCTCGCCTCAGTAAAACGCGTGGGGGACATTCACACGCTGTCTTCAAGCGCCGCGTGTCTTGAGTTTGGACCTAATGACTCTATTGTCATTCTTAAACCTAGACACGGTTATGTTCCAAAAGCGATTGGTACCCCCTTCAGGGCGCAAGTGATTTCTCTATCGGCTCTGCCTGCATCCGATAGCGAACGTGACGCTGATCGCCTCTGCCCGGTCCGGGCTCTGAGAGTGTACACTACACGCGCTGCTGCGTTCAGACGCTCGGACCAGCTGTTTGTGTCGTTCGGCGGCCGCACCAAGGGTCTAGCCGCCTCTAAACAGACACTGTCTAGGTGGATAGTGGACGCTATTGCCTCTGCTTACACCTCAAAAGACCTGCCTTGCCCGCTGGGCGTCAGGGCTCATTCCACCAGAGGCATGGCCTCATCGTGGGCATGGTCCTGCGGAATTTCCTTTCACGACATTTGTGTGGCTGCGGGATGGGCCTCCCCGTCCACCTTTGTCAGATTCTATAACTTGGAAGTCCCCGCCTTACAGGCTAAATTACTGGCGGTCTAGTACTATACAGCTCTCCTATAAGAAGCTGCACTATTGGGAGTCCTATCACAACCGGTTCGCCCCTTGTGCTTCCCCCATGTGCTTATGCATTATACGATTACGGCCCTCTATGCCGGCCGCCTTATGGGCATATGCATTAGATTATAACGGCCGCTATGCTGGCTGCCTCCCCCGGTGTTTTCCCCCTGGGATGCTTAGTGGTTACATAGCGCGCACGGCGTTGACCAGGTGTTCCCGTAGCGTAAGCTAGCTTACGCAATACGAAAGAACCTCTCGTAAGAGAACGAATCGGTTACCTAACGTAACCTTGGTTCTCTCTAGATGAGGGAATGAGTATTGCGTTCCCGGCCGTGCTTGCGCCACCAGCGTTTCGCTTCATGCTGAAAGAAATCAATTGACAATGATTACAAATTATGGAATAATTTTTAGGCTTCAACTTCTCAGCAAAGATGAATCTTTCCCGTAGCGTAAGCTAGCTTACGCAATACTCGTTCCCTCATCTAGAGAGAACCGAGGTTACGTTAGGTAACCGATTCGTTTTTCCTTAAAATACAGGGTGCATAAGTCACGGCACCCCTATGTTAAATTCCCATAGAGTCAGGCAGATTTTTATTTTTAAAAGCCAGTTATTTCATGGATCCAGGATAATATGCATCCTGATAAAGTTCCCTTGGCCTTTGGAATTAAAATATCCCCACATCATCACACACCATTCACCATGCCTTGAGATTGGCATGGTTTTACTTCATTTAGCCTAATTGTCAGAAAGTTCGTCTCAGAACGGAAAACAAGCAGTGGTCTGACGGACTCTTATCATAGTTGCAACTTCCTGCAGGCTGATGCAAAAGCCAGTTCCAGCCTGATATCGCTGTTTTCCCTGATATTGTTCAATGTTGTGCGTTCATGCAACAAATGTGAGTAAATATGTTAATATTATTTAGTCAACACTTTATATCTGTTAATGTGAATGTTGGATGTTTAGTAAATGACGATCGCGGAGAGGCGCTAATTCTATGGTCACGTTATTATTACATATTGCGTCATGCTGTTTATTTGTAGTTTATCTCATTATATGTTTAAGTTGTTATCTGACAGTTGAGCATTCATTTGTGATGACTATTTAGTCAGTTATTGATAACTTGTGAGGTAATTTGTGTACAGATATATTGTAATTATACTGTATTCCTTTATTTATATATTCTACAGACCACAACACAACATGATTGCATCATATAACTCTCCTAACCCTCCTGAGAGTGTAAATGGATGTCACTTACTGCCTGATGAATATCATTAAAGAGAAGTTTGATGAAGGTATACTTCTCCTGTGCCTGATTCTCTTACCGGAATCACTGTCCATATTCGTCAGCCTACGGAACTGTAAATTCTCAAACGTTGCTAGAGGTGCTACTCTGCAATACTAATAGCTGGTTTGATTTGCATTGAAAGATGATCTTATGGAAAGTACCCCATGCCAATCTCTAGTTGTGGTGGAAGGTGTGTGATGATGTGGGTCTATTTTAATTCCAAAGGCCAAGGGAACTTTATTAGGATGCATATTATCCTGGATCCATGAAATAACTGGCTTTTGAAAATAAAAATCTGCCTGACTCTATGGGAATTTAACATAGGGCTGTCCTGACTTATGCACCCTGTATTTTAAGGAAAAACATTTATTTATTTATGATGCATTATTCATTCACAAAGAAAATTTGTGTCCTTTAGGTTTGGAGTTTTCCTCATTTTTCTAATTGAGGCATTAAGATCAACATCCAAAAGATGATTTTTATTCCTCTTTTTAGGCAACTTTAGCATGGGTGTCCAAACTTATTCACATCACTGTATATATTAGTTTCACAGAATAAAGACATACAAGTTTGACTGATGTGAGAACGAGTGTACTGTATTATAGGTGTTTGTTTCAGTATAAACATTCCAGTTTACACGTAAATGAACAAGTAATTAAACTGTACGCCACTCTGTTAAATGTCTCAGCTAGATGGAAATTTAGTCAATATTTGCTGATTATAAACAAGGCATAACAAGACTCTCCTACCTTACTACTTCACTGGTGTCTGTTTGTGGATCATTTGTCTCTTCATCTTGTCCTGAAGAAGCAACCTCTTTTGTCACTGTCACATGAAAATGAAAAACAATTTTTAGTATTTTTGAAATTATACAGTTTGATAACAATTTTTTTCCATTTTTGAGTGGTGGCATTATGATGTTCAGGCCATGGGATGGCTTCTGTGTGAGCCAGTGTCTGAAAACATGTGGAAAACAAACCAATTGTATAGGCCGGTCAGGAAGGCTTTAGGAAGTCTTTTGTTCATGTGTGTGTGGAAAGTTCATTATGTAAGTTGGGAATTAAAAAAAAATAATTCTAAGTTCTACCCATAGACTGTAAAAAAAAAAAAAAAAAAAAAAAAAGGATGACACGCCTTCACTCTCTTCTGTTGGTGAAAAGTGAAGCTGCCAAAAGTCCTAATATGGCCGTAGTGAACGCGGGACCCGAGTCGCACAGTAGTGAGCGTGAAGTGAAGCCGCGATATCAAAGTCCCGCCCTCACTCTCACAGAAACATTAGTACAGTTTACTGCAGAACAGCTCATTGTGTCAATGTGTAATAAACAGTTATGGACATGTAGAAATTAAAGCTGAAGCTCCAATATCCTCCTGGAAATCCCCCCAAAAGTCTGTTGGTGCCTCAGTGACTACTTTGTTAAAGGTGCATTGCGCAACATTTCATGTTAAAAATAGCCGTTTTCTAACCCATACATGCTTAAACAATCGCCTGATGAGCTGAATGAGCCCTTCTCCGATCACTGCGATCACCTCTATAATCCTGTACAGTAAAATAAATAAGAGGGATTCGGGCTCGAATCTGAGACTGGCCGTGACGTCATGCTCGCCTGGCTATGTCTGGCAGGTTCGTGTAGCTATTCGCCGCCGTTCTCTGTATCAGAGAAGACAACTCGAGCGACACAACTCTAGTCAGCTTACCACACAAGTAGACGATGGATTTAAAGGGGCTGTTTACACCTGGTCACTTCATGTGTTTTCTGTGATCGGATAGCTATTCGATTGTGAAAAGACCAGGGTGTAAATGCCCTCCGAAACACATTCGAGACGGATTTGAATCCGATCGCTCAAACCACTTGAGGACGTGGTCTGGGCCGTATTCCAGAGGAAACGGGACAAGTGTAAATGCATCAGGTTGTTGAAACCAAGATATATGTCTTGTTATTTTAGTCATATATGACGACGCGCAACACCTGAGCAGCTGAGCTGAGCCCCTTCATAAAGCCAGCGCGCCGCAATCTATCGCAAATCAAAGTGAAAGTAAGTCGCAGACGCTTAACACTACCATCTTCATTAAAAGTAAAGAAATTAAATGATCTTACCAGGCCTGTTGCCGATCTCTCTTATTGCTGTCTTTGCTGATTTTGAAATTAGCCGATGATTAATAAAATGCAGCTCATATCTGTTGCTTTCGGTGACGTGCACTTCATTTAATCTGTATATGGTGCGGAAAGAGACCGGCTTGTAGTTCATTAACCCAACGCAAACTCCACGTGAGACAAAGAAAATAAAACTTCTGTCTGTTCAGTGCCAGGCGTCGGAATAAGACGAGAGTTAACATTGGGAATTCAACAAACGGAGAGATCTCCAGTCTGCTCTAGGGCTCAAACGGGTCCTATACAAAGTGATAACTGAAGGTGTTTCCATAAAAATTCAATCATTAGTGGATACAGTAAGCACAGGGAGATAGATGGAAACAAAAACCGAAGTTTTCTACTACCCCCGTTTCCCCCTCTCACACACATAAGTGTGTAATTTACTCGAATGCCTTTCCTTTCATATATTTAAATGACTTTCAGATTTATTACTGTATTACCTCATTATGACTAACAAAAGCTGGGCTGATGCTCCTTTGCAAGAGCTTTGAACAGCTTTGAACAGCTCATGCAAACGTGCGTGTGTGTGTATGTGTGTTCCTCCATGAACGCGCATAGCTATGGTTGCAGTTTCGCTTGTCGCCAGAGGGGGCGTAGTTCTGCAAAAACTCAGATACTTGCGTTTAGCTCCTTTAAGAGGAGCTGTCTATCACAGCTGTCAATCATGACATCAACATTCCCATTATTATAGCATCAAATAACTCCAAACTTATTTAAAAAACAAACACTTAAACTTACATTAGTATGATAAAAAACTACCTAAATGACAGAAAACATCTTCAAAAAAAATTATTGAAGTGTAATTTCATTTTTCAGTTTACATCGCAACCATTAGACCAGTGTTTCCCAACCCTGTTCCTGGCGGCACACCAACACTGCGCGTATTCTTTGTCTCCCTAATCAAACACACCTGATTCAACTCATCAGCTCATTAACCCATCTGATTATGAGCTGATGAGTTGAATCAGGTGTGTTTGATAAGGGAGACAAAAAATACGCGCAGTGTTGGTGTGCCGCCAGGAACAGGGTTGGGAAACACTGCATTAGACTACATAGAGAAGGCAGTGTTTATGACCTATACTGGGACCAACCACCTGGGGGCAATCAAGACGCTTTGGTTTCACTTTTCAGGATTTGTGTGGCACACTTGATTCTACCAGAAAGACGCATGGGCAGGTAATAATAATAATAATTCATTACATTTATATGGCACTTTTCTCTGCACTCGAATCGCTATACATAGAACGGAGAATCTCCTCAACCACCACGGTCTAGCATCCACCTGGATGTGACGGCAGCCATATTGCACCATAAAGCCCACTACACACCAGCTTACTGGTGGAGAGGAGACAGAGTGATGAAGCCAATTAGTATATTTATATATCTGTATGGGGATGATTGGGAGGCCATGATGGACAGAGGCCAGGAGGCTGGGGTTAAAACCCTACTCTTTCGAAAGACATATTTTTAATGACCACAGAGAGTCAGGACCTCGGTTTAACGTCTCATCCAAAGGACGGTGCTCTTTGACAGTATAATGTCCCCGTAACTATACTGGGGCTTTAGGACCCACACAGACCCCAGGGCGCCCCCTGCTGGCCTCACTAACACCTCTTCCAACGCTGACATGGTATTTCCCAGAAGGTCTCCCATCCAGGTACTGACCAGGCAACCAGTCTTGAGCTACAGGGTGATATGGCTGCTGGCAATAACGTTTGCATGGTAATCATTTTGTAAAGTATTAATGATTCATGTTTAGTTCTATAAGAAAGTTATTGGGCATATGTCCTGATCTTAGTCCAAGTCCTGGTGATGCAGATTTAGCTGATCCTGCCTGAAGATGAACGATAGACTGTGCTATGTGAATGGCCACGATAGACTGTGCTATGTGAAGGGTCACGATAGGCTGTGCTATGAGAAGGGCCACGATAGACTGTGCTATGAGAAGGGTCATGATAGGCTGTGCTATGAGAAGGGCCACGATAGACTGTGCTATGAGAAGGGTCACGATAGGCTGTGCTATGAGAAGGGTCACGATAGGCTGTGCTATGAGAAGGGCCACGATAGACTGTGCTATGAGAAGGGCCACGATAGACTGTGCTATGAGAAGGGCCACGATAGGCTGTGCTATGAGAAGGGTCACGATAGACTGTGCTATGAGAAGGTCCACGATAGACTGTGCTATGAGAAGGGTCACGATAGGCTGTGCTATGAGAAGGGCCACGATAGACTGTGCTATGAGAAGGGTCACGATAGACTGTGCTATGAGAAGGGTCACGATAGACTGTGCTATGAGAAGGGTCACGATAGGCTGTGCTATGAGAAGGGTCACGATAGACTGTGCTATGAGAAGGGTCACGATAGACTGTGCTATGAGAAGGGTCACGATAGACTGTGCTATGAGAAGGGTCACGATAGACTGTGCTATGAGAAGGGTCACGATAGACTGTGCTATGAGAAGGGTCACGATAGGCTGTGCTATGAGAAGGGTCACGATAGACTGTGCTATGAGAAGGGTCACGATAGACTGTGCTATGAGAAGGTCCACGATAGACTGTGCTATGAGAAGGGTCACGATAGGCTGTGCTATGAGAAGGGTCACGATAGACTGTGCTATGAGAAGGGTCACGATAGACTGTGCTATGAGAAGGGTCACGATAGGCTGTGCTATGAGAAGGGCCACGATAGACTGTGCTATGAGAAGGGCCACGATAGACTGTGCTATGAGAAGGGTCACGATAGACTGTGCTATGAGAAGGGTCACGATAGACTGTGCTATGAGAAGGGCCACGATAGGCTGTGCTATGAGAAGGGCCACGATAGACTGTGCTATGAGAAGGGTCACGATAGACTGTGCTATGAGAAGGGTCACGATAGACTGTGCTATGAGAAGGGTCACGATAGGCTGTGCTATGAGAAGGGCCACGATAGACTGTGCTATGAGAAGGGCCACGATAGACTGTGCTATGAGAAGGGCCACGATAGACTGTGCTATGAGAAGGGTCACGATAGGCTGTGCTATGAGAAGGGTCACGATAGACTGTGCTATGAGAAGGGTCACGATAGGCTGTGCTATGAGAAGGGCCACGATAGGCCGTGCTATGAGAAGGGCCACGATAGACTGTGCTATGAGAAGGGCCACGATAGACTGTGCTATGAGAAGGGTCACGATAGGCTGTGCTATGAGAAGGGCCACGATAGACTGTGCTATGAGAAGGGTCACGATAGGCTGTGCTATGAGAAGGGCCACGATAGACTGTGCTATGTGAATGGCCACGATAGACTGTGCTATGTGAAGGGTCACGATAGGCCGTGCTATGAGAAGGGCCACGATAGACTGTGCTATGAGAAGGGTCACGATAGGCTGTGCTATGAGAAGGGCCACGATAGGCTGTGCTATGAGAAGGGCCACGATAGACTGTGCTATGAGAAGGGTCACGATAGACTGTGCTATGAGAAGGGCCACGATAGACTGTGCTATGAGAAGGGCCACGATAGACTGTGCTATGAGAAGGGCCACGATAGACTGTGCTATGAGAAGGGTCACGATAGGCTGTGCTATGAGAAGGGTCACGATAGGCTGTGCTATGAGAAGGGCCACGATAGACTGTGCTATGAGAAGGGCCACGATAGACTGTGCTATGAGAAGGGTCACGATAGGCTGTGCTATGAGAAGGGTCACGATAGACTGTGCTATGAGAAGGTCCACGATAGGCTGTGCTATGAGAAGGGTCACGATAGGCTGTGCTATGAGAAGGGTCACGATAGACTGTGCTATGAGAAGGGTCACGATAGGCTGTGCTATGAGAAGGTCCACGATAGGCTGTGCTATGTGAATGGCCACGATAGACTGTGCTATGTGAAGGTCCACGATAGGCAGTGCTATGTGAATGGCCACGATAGACTGTGCTATGTGAAGGGCCACGATAGGCTGTGCCATGAGAAGGGCCTCGATAGGCTGTGCTATGAGAAGGTCCACGATTAGACCCCGAAGCCGCCGCCAGGCACCGCCATTTGCGCCATTTAGAATATCAGCCGCCGCCAGCCAATAATCTCGTAAGCCAAATTGAGCCGCCAGCTGATAAAGTTTGGCTGAGCCGGCTAAAATTATTTGCATCAAATAATATTTCTATCAAATATACATACGAAATATATAAACAATACAATACACGAGATCTATTTTCCCACTGGATTCACAACAGCAGTTGTGCTCGTTGCTACGATACGCAGACGACCAATTAAAATTGCTCATTTTCCATACAGAAGCTATGTTTTTTTTTAGGTGAAATGGCGAAACGAAGCACAAAAGGTAATTTAGATCGCACTTCTCACATACTTTCCGGATGCACAAACACCTGAATCAAAGATTGATGTTATGAATTAAATATTCTGGAACGGAGAGATTTATAGCACTGAACGTGATATTACCGCAGTAACAACCCCGTTTCCACATTTCTAATTCACGACGCATGCTTAAGTGTACACTGAAGTGTGCAAAACTTTGTCCAAAATAATACTGATAACACTATAAGGCGAGACACGGTGACGGCAGGCAAAAACATAGTTTTTCTTTTTTTTTTTACTGGTCAATTTTGAGATTTTAGGGTTTTTATCTTCGGGTCATTTCAGAATTGTAGTAAAAAAATAAAAAAAAATCCGAAATATACATTTAGGTATTTATTTTACTACACTTCGTCTGTTTGCATCTGTAGAAATCTCCACTTCAGTAGATCTAGTAATTTTATGAAGACATTTACAGAGGGATTAGTAAATATATTATTTGTTGCCTGATATGTATAACATTTTATTCCAAAAAAAAAAAAAAACATGGCGAAAATCATTATATTCTGATTTACAGGATAACAAAAGTAGATATCCATAAATCCCTCTGTAATTTTTTCCCCATCTAATATGTGAACACAATGAAAAAAAACATTTTAACCTGGTTTTATCCAATACTCAGATTTCGTGTTTTAAAAATATATGCAAATTGGCACATATTAAATTATATACTGCCTAATTTACATATTTAAACATAAAATTAAAGAAAACTTGTGATACATTTTCTTTTTCTCATCTTAATGTAAGCAATCAACTGGGAAAGTTTCATGGTGGTATCTGCTAGTTAAAAATTTTACCCTATTCATCCGTATTGTCTCAGCTTAACTATAAAGTTGAACAGCGAATTACTGTACATGTCATAAATATATGCATAACGTTACTCCGTGAAGTTTGACAAGTGTGCATTCTTACACAGCAGCATGGACATAATTCACTAACGTTACTATTGAATCCGCTTAGCACTATAGCTAATGTTACCAAATAGGCTAGTTCTAAATCTTTACTTTAGGTGTTTTGTGCAACCGTTCTTATAAGTAATTGTATTGCATTTCTTTATTACATTGTATTGCATTTTGTAAAAAATATAGTGTAATGCATTGCTTGAAAATATTGAGATCTAGTAAATCAGTATAACATAGACATATGTAGACATGAAGTGGCAGCTTCAGCCGTTTGCAGCTATGAAAAGTTTGGCGGCTGCAGCAGCCATTAAGGTTTTGGCTGAGCCGGCTAGCCAGCCAATAACGTCATCAGCCAGCCATTATTCTCAAAACAAATGGCTTCGGGGTCTATCCATGATAGACTGTGCTATGTGAAGTTTTTAATACTATTTTAATACTTTTCACTCATGGGCAAACATATGCAAAAACATGCAATCCTCTTCCTTAAGTTCAGTATCTCTATTAAAGTTCCTGCATGGATTTTATTAATCAAGTGAATTATACACACAGCAACATTTTTATAGTGAACATTTACAAGTTCGGGTGTAGCACTAAATAAAACTCACCTTTTCTGTACATAAGTAAGTATGCAGACGTAGAGCTGAAAGAAAATATATACGCCCAATATTATATCATTTACTGACAGAAATTCTTAAATTCTTGCTTTTTACTAACTATTGACTGTGATTATGCCTCAATAGACACGTAATTACTGCTTATTAACAGTTATTAAGGTCATTCATTTTAGATCTTGGGTAGGATTTGGTAGGATTAAAGAATATAGAATATGGTCATATTTTCGATTTATTCTGTATATAAATACTAATAAACAGCCAATATCCTAGTAATATGCATGCTATTAAGCAACTACAAAGTAGTTAATAGTGAAAATTGAATCCTAAACTAAAGAGTTACCCATCTTTATCTTCTGTTGCAGACTAATTTTTAGTGGAGGACAAATTGTCTATCCATCTACACAATGATTTATCAGGAGCATCTGTCATTAACAATTCTATTGATTAAAATTATTAAATAAAACAACATGTTTTGTGATTTATAATGTAAATAGATTACCCGCCGTTGATCCAGTGATCTACATAATCCATCTAAAGGAAAGAAGTACTTGATAAATTAGTAAATCATGTACTTGAAAGGTCTAAAATCTTATTTCTTTAAACAATAGTCATTTCTAATCAACCTCCAGTACTGAAATTTTCCAGATATCAGAATTGTAACAAATGAATACTTGTTTCTACACAACCAGGAAGTGTTTCGTCACTCAATACTTGATTCTCCTCGATCATCCACAATGTCTTCACAAAATCTTTACATGTCTCTTTGATATAACTTACCTTTGTAACACTGTGATCATTAAAATTATACCAGTGTCCACTCCGAGATTTAGCGATTGTGACGTAATGACCACTAATGAATGACCCGTGGTGATTAATGATGGCATATAGCTCATACTCTGGGGAAGACCCATACTTTACTGAATCAATCTGTTGAGAAGAGAGAACATTGTTAAACACTGCATTATCCTGTAATCTGTATCTGGAAGGTGCCTCAGGTTACGCATATAACCATGATTCCCTGAGAACAGGGAACGAGTCACAGCGTCCCCTAGGGATCTCTATGAGGAATGTCTGAAGCATGAGTGTAAATATAACAATGAACTTGACATTGGCAGGCGGCAGCCTATGACATCACCGTTGGTGCGACCGTGAGTATAAACGGGCATCTGTGCAATACGTCATCCACTTCTTGTCTGAAGAAGACGTGTGCAGGAATACCAAAAGCCTGGTAAAGGGATGCAGCGTTTCGTTCCCTATTCTCGGGGAAACATGGTTACATGCCTAACCTGAGACGTTCCCTTTAGAAAAGGAACTCGCACTGCGTCCCCTAGGGGTTGCAATGGGAATGGAAACCCCACACTGCCATGCTGTAGGCATGAGTGCCCTATTAGCTGAGCTAAGTCAAAGGGTATCCTTCAGTCCTCATCCTGAAGGTGCACTGTCATAGGCTGGAGCACAGTCATAAAGAACAGAGGCCTCAACAGGATGACTCTAAGAGAGGAAACCTCACTACGTTCATATTCAGGCCTGGGTCTGAAGAGGCTCACAGAGAGCCTAACACTCAGATCTTGAAGAGTACCAATGCTGTAACCAAAGGGCAGTAAAAAGCTCAAAAAGAGTTAAAACTTAGACTTAACTGGCCCACACGGAGCCAAGGAGGCTTCAAGAGAGCCTAACAACCTAGCATACTACCACCTAGCTCTAGGAGCGGAGGCCTCAGTATGATGACTCTCTAAATCAAGAGGAGGCTAACCATGCTCCAATCTCAGGACCTTTTGCACGGAGGCTACCAGAGGGCCTACCACTTGCAATTGCTATCCTAGCGAAGCTCTGGGGAGCGAAGGACTCAGTAAGATAACTCTGACTAGAGAGAAAAGGAGGCCTAACTACGCTCACAGCAGCCAAGGAGACTCACAGAGAGCCTAACAACTTATCTGAAATAGGCAGTGCTCTGGGAGCAGAGAAGAAAACAAAGCAGAAAAGTAGAGAAAGAAAAGGGTTTTCTGTGTTTGTAGAAAGTACAACAGAAGAACAGAGAGACCAAATATTTTAAAGATTGATTTAGTTAGGACTTAAAGTAACAGTTGCTTAAAATTAGCAACCGAAGAGGATGACAGAACGGAGCATTTAATAATTAATCAATGTTACAAAAAGTAGGAAACTAAAATCGTGGGGTTCACAGGTGGAGCTTGCCTACGAATTCGAGAAGGATGTTATTATCTTTCTTTCTTAGGCGGCTGGCGAGAGCGAGTTGCCGGATAATGATATGTTATCACAACATCTGATCAGGCAGCGAGCGTGTTCCTCACACCGATCCAAGGTGAGCAGGATGAGGCAGTTGAGATCGAGGATGTCTCTCACAGCCCACCTGCCCCGCATATGAGGAGCTGCTGGATGTTATATTTCGCACCACGGAGGAATTAGATCTGCCATGGAAGCTCAAAATAAGCGTAAGTTCCTTCGCAGCCACCTCGAGGGAATGCTTCCTGTTGTGAAATAACCACCCAGCTCGTGCGAGTCTTCCCTTTCTCTCAGATCTTTTCACTGTGGTCCGGAGATCTTGGGGAAAGCCATATTCCTTAGCTCCCTAGAGCTCCACCGGGATAGCTATTGTGAGTCGTAGGCTCTCTGTGAGCCTCCTTATAACACGTCCTGAGCAATGCAGTGTTGATAGGCCTCCACTCGATTAGAGAGACGTCATGTTGTGGGCTCCACTTTTACAGCTCAGTTAATATAAGTTAAGTTGTTAAGCACTCTGCGAGACTCCTTGGCTACTGCAAGTGTTGTTTGGCCTCCTCTCGCTAGAAGGAGTTTTCTTTAGGCCTCCGCTCCCAAGAGCTCCACCAGGATATTAATTGCAAGTGCCAGGGTCTCTGGTAGCCTCCTTGCAATATGTCCTGAGCGTGGAGCATAGTTAAGCCTCCTCTTGATTTAGAGAGTCATTCTTTTTGAGCTTTCTTGGTACTGCCCCTGGGTTAAAGTTTTGCTAGGCATTGTTTGAACCCTCCACTCTTTGAAGCCACAGAGAGGCTTTTGGTATTCCTGCACACGTCTTCTTCCGACAAGAAGTGGATGACTTATTGCACAGATGCCCGTTTATACTCACGGTCGCACCAACAGTGACGACATAGGCTGCCGCCTGCCAATGTCAAGTTCATTGTTATATTTACACTCATGCTTCAGACATTCCTCATAGCGATCCCTAGGGGACGCAGTGACTCGTTCTCAGGGAACCATGGTTATATGCGTAACCTCAGACTTTTGTTTGAAAAAAAAATGTATACAGATATGTACAAATATGTCAATTTATACAAATATGTAAACATAATTGTGTACAATTATATACAACACAGTGTTTTGTTTTATTATTTTTTACGTGAAGATTTGGAGGAATCTTAACGTAGCATTCATTTTTCCAGTAGTAAAGCTTATTTCCGATGAAGCCCATCTCAAATCTCTTCAGCTGCAGAGTCAAAATGTCTGGCCACTTTTGAATATCATTTACCTGAAAATAAAATAAAAAGGTCATTCTTTCAAATGCTCAAATTACAATAAACTTAAGTATATTTCCACTGGTATATAGATAAGCTGTATCCATATACATATTTAATTATATATAGAGTATAATTACTGTTCAAGTCGAACAATTTACAAATACAAAGGTTTTTTTCTATAAATTGTAAATGGACTGCGTTTCTATATAGCGCTTTTACAGACCCAATGGCCACCAAAGCACTTTACATTTTTGCCTCACATTCACCCACTCATACACTCATTCACACACCAACGGCGGTGTCAACCATACAAGGCGCCATCCATCTCAACAGGAGAAAACAAATCAATTTTTCAAAAAAAAAAAAAAAAAAATACATTTATCAAAACGATGTAATATAAACAAGTTCAAACATGTCCTAACCTAAGGGTTTTGCAATAGAACATGAACACAATAACTGCACTGTATGTACATACATAACAGTTATTATTTTGGACCCGGCGTTGTTACATTTTTCTGTTTAATTTCCGGATTAGTAATAGTTACCAAACCCCTTTTTGCATTTGTATTTGTACATGTAAAAAGTGCATTAATTAATAAATGAATTGTAGTTTAATGGCATGTGTTAACATTCAAATGTACATATACACACATACCCTTTTTAATAATTCTATAACCTTATAAAATCATGTGCAGATTTTAAAGAAGTGCATGATCAAATAAACTGAAAGTGTATTGACATCGAAAGGCATTGAAATTTACTTGAAATAATGATCTGTTAATCATTATGGAATGTGTAATAAATCAACGCATTCTCATCCCAAGGCGTCATCTAACTGACAGTTTTTACCATGCTTCAATATCCAACGCTTTAGGCACCCTTTAGCGTTAGTTACATGACTCAATCCTAGGGAGTCATCTAACTGATGTTAAAGGGAAAGGGTCAGTTAGATGACGCGGGTAGGTTTAGGTCTGGGGTAGGGTAAGGGTTAGAAGCGATCCTAGGGTGTCATCTAACTGATACTAAAGGGAAAGGGTCAGTTAGATGATGCGGTTAGGTTTAGGTCTGGGGTAGGGTTAGGTTTAGAAGCGATCCTAGGGTGTCATCTAACTGATACTAAAGGGAAAGGGTCAGTTAGATGATGCGGTTAGGTTTAGGTCTGGGGTAGGGTAAGGGTTAGACGCTATCCTAGGGTGTCATCTAACGGATGCTAAAGGGAAAGGGTCAGTTAGATGATGCGGTTAGGTTTAGGTCTGGGGTAGGGTAAGGGTTAGAAGCGATCCTAGGGTGTCATCTAACGGATGCTAAAGGGAAAGGGTCAGTTAGATGATGCGGTTAGGTTTAGGTCTGGGGTAGGGTTAGGGTTAGAAGCGATCCTAGGGTGTCATCTAACTGATGCTAAAGGGAAAGGGTCAGTTAGATGATGCGGTTAGGTTTAGGTCTGGGGTAGGGTTAGGGTTAGAAGCGATCCTAGGGTGTCATCTAACTGATGCTAAAGGGAAAGGGTCAGTTAGATGATGCGGTTAGGTTTAGGTCTGGGGTAGGGTTAGGGTTAGAAGCGATCCTAGGGTGTCATCTAACTGATGCTAAAGGGAAAGGGTCAGTTAGATGATGCGGTTAGGTTTAGGTCTGGGGTAGGGTTAGGGTTAGAAGCGATCCTAGGGAGTCATCTAACTGATGCTAAAGGGAACGGGTCAGTTAGATGATGCGGTTAGGTTTAGGTCTGGGGTAGGGTTAGGGTTAGAAGCGATCCTAGGGTGTCATCTAACTGATGCTAAAGGGAAAGGGTCAGTTAGATGATGCGGTTAGGTTTAGGTCTGGGGTAGGGTTAGGGTTAGAAGCGATCCTAGGGTGTCATCTAACTGATGCTAAAGGGAAAGGGTCAGTTAGATGATGCGGTTAGGTTTAGGTCTGGGGTAGGGTAAGGGTTAGACGCTATCCTAGGGTGTCATCTAACTGATGCTAAAGGGAAAGGGTCAGTTAGATGATGCGGTTAGGTTTAGGTCTGGGGTAGGGTAAGGGTTAGACGCTATCCTAGGGTGTCATCTAACTGATGCTAAAGGGAAAGGGTCAGTTAGATGATGCGGTTAGGTTTAGGTCTGGGGTAGGGTTAGGGTTAGACGCGATCCTAGGGAGTCATCTAACTGATGCTAAAGGGAAAGGGTCAGTTAGATGATGCGGTTAGGTTTAGGTCTGGGGTAGGGTTAGGGTTAGAAGCGATCCTAGGGTGTCATCTAACTGATGCTAAAGGGAAAGGGTCAGTTAGATGATGCGGTTAGGTTTAGGTCTGGGGTAGGGTAAGGGTTAGACGCTATCCTAGGGTGTCATCTAACTGATGCTAAAGGGAAAGGGTCAGTTAGATGATGCGGTTAGGTTTAGGTCTGGGGTAGGGTTAGGGTTAGAAGCGATCCTAGGGCGTCATCTAACTGATGCTAAAGGGAAAGGGTCAGTTAGATGATGCGGTTAGGTTTAGGTCTGGGGTAGGGTAAGGGTTAGAAGCGATCCTAGGGTGTCATCTAACTGATGCTAAAGGGAAAGGGTCAGTTAGATGATGCGGTTAGGTTTAGGTCTGGGGTAGGGTAAGGGTTAGACGCTATCCTAGGGTGTCATCTAACGGATGCTAAAGGGAAAGGGTCAGTTAGATGATGCGGTTAGGTTTAGGTCTGGGGTAGGGTTAGGGTTAGACGCTATCCTAGGGTGTCATCTAACTGATGCTAAAGGGAAAGGGTCAGTTAGATGATGCGGTTAGGTTTAGGTCTGGGGTAGGGTAAGGGTTAGACGCTATCCTAGGGTGTCATCTAACGGATGCTAAAGGGAAAGGGTCAGTTAGATGATGCGGTTAGGTTTAGGTCTGGGGTAGGGTTAGGGTTAGACGCTATCCTAGGGTGTCATCTAACTGATGCTAAAGGGAAAGGGTCAGTTAGATGATGCGGTTAGGTTTAGGTCTGGGGTAAGGTAAGGGTTAGAAGCGATCCTAGGGTGTCATCTAACTGATGCTAAAGGGAAAGGGTCAGTTAGATGATGCGGTTAGGTTTAGGTCTGGGGTAAGGTAAGGGTTAGAAGCGATCCTAGGGTGTCATCTAACGGATGCTAAAGGGAAAGGGTCAGTTAGATGACGCGGTTAGGTTTAGGTCTGGGGTAAGGTAAGGGTTAGAAGCGATCCTAGGGTGTCATCTAACGGATGCTAAAGGGAAAGGGTCAGTTAGATGATGCGGTTAGGTTTAGGTCTGGGGTAGGGTAAGGGTTAGAAGCGATCCTAGGGAGTCATCTAACGGATGCTAAAGGGAAAGGGTCAGTTAGATGATGCGGTTAGGTTTAGGTCTGGGGTAGGGTTAGGGTTAGACGCTATCCTAGGGTGTCATCTAACTGATGCTAAAGGGAAAGGGTCAGTTAGATGATGCGGTTAGGTTTAGGTCTGGGGTAGGGTTAGGGTTAGAAGCGATCCTAGGGAGTCATCTAACTGATGCTAAAGGGAAAGGGTCAGTTAGATAATGCGGTTAGGTTTAGGTCTGGGGTAGGGTAAGGGTTAGAAGCGATCCTAGGGAGTCATCTAACTGATGCTAAAGGGAAAGGGTCAGTTAGATGATGCGGTTAGGTTTAGGTCTGGGGTAGGGTAAGGGTTAGAAGCGATCCTAGGGCGTCATCTAACTGATGCTAAAGGGAAAGGGTCAGTTAGATGATGCGGTTAGGTTTAGGTCTGGGGTAGGGTAAGGGTTAGAAGCGATCCTAGGGTGTCATCTAACTGATGCTATGGGAAAGGGTCAGTTAGATGATGCGGTTAGGTTTAGGTCTGGGGTAGGCTAAGGTTTAGAAGCGATCCTAGGGTGTCATCTAACGGATGCTAAAGGGAAAGGGTCAGTTAGATGACGCGGTTAGGTTTAGGTCTGGGGTAGGCTAAGGTTTAGAAGCGATCCTAGGGTGTCATCTAACTGATGCTATAGGGAAAGGGTCAGTTAGATGATGCGGTTAGGTTTAGGTCTGGGGTAGGGTAAGGGTTAGAAGCGATCCTAGGGCGTCATCTAACTGATGCTAAAGGGAAAGGGTCAGTTAGATGATGCGGTTAGGTTTAGGTCTGGGGTAGGGTTAGGGTTAGACGCTATCCTAGGGTGTCATCTAACTGATGCTAAAGGGAAAGGGTCAGTTAGATGATGCGGTTAGGTTTAGGTCTGGGGTAGGGTAAGGGTTAGACGCTATCCTAGGGTGTCATCTAACGGATGCTAAAGGGAAAGGGTCAGTTAGATGATGCGGTTAGGTTTAGGTCTGGGGTAGGGTTAGGGTTAGACGCTATCCTAGGGTGTCATCTAACTGATGCTAAAGGGAAAGGGTCAGTTAGATGATGCGGTTAGGTTTAGGTCTGGGGTAAGGTAAGGGTTAGAAGCGATCCTAGGGTGTCATCTAACTGATGCTAAAGGGAAAGGGTCAGTTAGATGATGCGGTTAGGTTTAGGTCTGGGGTAAGGTAAGGGTTAGAAGCGATCCTAGGGTGTCATCTAACGGATGCTAAAGGGAAAGGGTCAGTTAGATGACGCGGTTAGGTTTAGGTCTGGGGTAAGGTAAGGGTTAGAAGCGATCCTAGGGTGTCATCTAACGGATGCTAAAGGGAAAGGGTCAGTTAGATGATGCGGTTAGGTTTAGGTCTGGGGTAGGGTAAGGGTTAGAAGCGATCCTAGGGAGTCATCTAACGGATGCTAAAGGGAAAGGGTCAGTTAGATGATGCGGTTAGGTTTAGGTCTGGGGTAGGGTTAGGGTTAGACGCTATCCTAGGGTGTCATCTAACTGATGCTAAAGGGAAAGGGTCAGTTAGATGATGCGGTTAGGTTTAGGTCTGGGGTAGGGTTAGGGTTAGAAGCGATCCTAGGGAGTCATCTAACTGATGCTAAAGGGAAAGGGTCAGTTAGATAATGCGGTTAGGTTTAGGTCTGGGGTAGGGTAAGGGTTAGAAGCGATCCTAGGGAGTCATCTAACTGATGCTAAAGGGAAAGGGTCAGTTAGATGATGCGGTTAGGTTTAGGTCTGGGGTAGGGTAAGGGTTAGAAGCGATCCTAGGGCGTCATCTAACTGATGCTAAAGGGAAAGGGTCAGTTAGATGATGCGGTTAGGTTTAGGTCTGGGGTAGGGTAAGGGTTAGAAGCGATCCTAGGGTGTCATCTAACTGATGCTATGGGAAAGGGTCAGTTAGATGATGCGGTTAGGTTTAGGTCTGGGGTAGGCTAAGGTTTAGAAGCGATCCTAGGGTGTCATCTAACGGATGCTAAAGGGAAAGGGTCAGTTAGATGACGCGGTTAGGTTTAGGTCTGGGGTAGGCTAAGGTTTAGAAGCGATCCTAGGGTGTCATCTAACTGATGCTATAGGGAAAGGGTCAGTTAGATGATGCGGTTAGGTTTAGGTCTGGGGTAGGGTAAGGGTTAGAAGCGATCCTAGGGCGTCATCTAACTGATGCTAAAGGGAAAGGGTCAGTTAGATGATGCGGTTAGGTTTAGGTCTGGGGTAGGGTAAGGGTTAGACGCGATCCTAGGGTGTCATCTAACTGATGCTAAAGGGAAAGGGTCAGTTAGATGACGCGGTTAGGTTTAGGTCTGGGGTAGGCTAAGGTTTAGAAGCGATCCTAGGGTGTCATCTAACTGATGCTAAAGGGAAAGGGTCAGTTAGATGATGCGGTTAGGTTTAGGTCTGGGGTAGGCTAAGGTTTAGAAGCGATCCTAGGGTGTCATCTAACGGATGCTAAAGGGAAAGGGTCAGTTAGATGACGCGGTTAGGTTTAGGTCTGGGGTAGGGTAAGGGTTAGACGCGATCCTAGGGTGTCATCTAACTGATGCTATAGGGAAAGGGTCAGTTAGATGATGCGGTTAGGTTTAGGTCTGGGGTAGGGTAAGGGTTAGAAGCGATCCTAGGGTGTCATCTAACTGATGCTATAGGGAAAGGGTCAGTTAGATGATGCGGTTAGGTTTAGGTCTGGGGTAGGCTAAGGTTTAGAATCGATCCTAGGGTGTCATCTAACGGATGCTAAAGGGAAAGGGTCAGTTAGATGATGCGGTTAGGTTTAGGTCTGGGGTAGGGTTAGGGTTAGAAGCGATCCTAGGGTGTCATCTAACTGATGCTAAAGGGAAAGGGTCAGTTAGATGATGCGGTTAGGTTTAGGTCTGGGGTAGGCTAAGGTTTAGAATCGATCCTAGGGTGTCATCTAACTGATGCTAAAGGGAAAGGGTCAGTTAGATGACGCGGTTAGGTTTAGATCTGGGGTAAGGTAAGGGTTAGAAGCGATCCTAGGGTGTCATCTAACGGATGCTAAAGGGAAAGGGTCAGTTAGATGATGCGGTTAGGTTTAGGTCTGGGGTAGGGTAAGGTTTAGAAGCGATCCTAGGGTGTCATCTAACTGATGCTAAAGGGAAAGGGTCAGTTAGATGATGCGGTTAGGTTTAGGTCTGGGGTAGGGTAAGGGTTAGATGCGAATCAGACAAATTACAAAAGAAATGGGCCAGTTGATCAGTTGTGGTCAGAGTGATAAGGAGAGTAAGAATAGTACATACTGTAGATTTTGGTGAGAACCCAGCCTTTTATGATCCTCTCCCTATATCAGCTCCTGATCATACTGACCTTGATCTTTAATTTATCATTCCCTCCTCTCGTCCTTCTCTGCTAATGTCTCTACTGCTAAAATGCCAGTCGCCGCTCTTATTAAATTCAAGTCACTGACGTTTGCCTAAAGAACAACCACTGGCACTGCTCCCTCTTACAACTCATTACTTCAGACTTATGTGCCATCCAGAAACCTGCGCTCTGCTAGCAGATGTCGTCTTGTGGTACCATCTCAAAGAGGCACAAAATCTCTTTCTCTGACCTTTACCATGACTGTTCCCTGCTGGTGGAATGATCTGTCTAACTCAACCAGAGCTGCGGAGTCAGTGGCCGCTTTCAAGAAACAGCTGAAGACGTATCTTTTTCGGCAACACTTGATCCAGTAATTCTAACACTTTCTCTTCTCTTCTATATCTATTATCTTAAAAAAACAAAAAACATACTGCATTTAGATTAACCTGAAAGGGGTCATAGCATTGTCCTAATTGTTAGTTTCACTGATTCTGTTGTTCTTATTTGTAAGTCGCTTTGGATAAAAGCTTCTGCTAAATGAATAAATGTGGCTCAGAGAGGTTTTTTTAATGAAGAAAATATATTTTTTTTAAAACTGAAATAAAGGGCTGGCAACTGAGATGCATTCAGGGTATACAGACAATACACTTTTGCTATACACTTGCAAATAGCCTGTAAACGTAAGTGGTTAAAACCTCTTTTATCAGCACTGGGATACATGTATTTAAACCATTAATAAGTCTACTTCCTGAGACGAATGTGTGGTCATTTATAAATAGATATAATATTCAAAAAGCAAATAATACTTGCCGTTTCCATGTCTCTCATTGAATCACATGTAACACAGTATAGCTGATCAACACCGCTCATGTCATGGATTCCCAAATACTCCATCAAAGCTTGTGTCTAAAAGTGGAATTAAAAGAGTTGAAAAACAGTTTCAATGTTTATGGCTTAGATCAATAGTATAATTTAGCTACAATAAAAATGTAAACTTTCATAACACAGAACAGATTATTGTCCCATAATTATTTCTCTGTAATACACAGGGACATTGCTGGGTTGGAAGATACAAGAACAAGTTCATTTGTGAAGTGAAACATGTTCCATCTTCAAAAAGATCAAGGGCTTTTGACAATACATCAGGGGTTTAAAGGAGCATTTCACCCATTGCAACATTAATCTTTATTGAAAGTGGATCATATATGTAGTCAAAATGTAAAATAATTTTTTAATTTGGTGCCCTCTTGACCGAGAAAAGACAGAAAATAACCAAGGGGTGCATTTGTGTTAACAAACTACAGTTCCCAGAATGCCACTGCATTGCACAGCTCCGCAAGCCACACCCACTAACCCACCCATCCACCGGAACAGCGCAAACAGAGAATTCACTCTTCCGTCTACAACGCTAACATTAGCTTTCGCTGTAGGAGCTGCGTTCATTATACCAGAAGTGAATGTTATGTTAAATAAGAGAATAAATGATAAAATGTCAGTGTATACAGGAGAAATGCTAGCCATTCTCTTAGCCCTTGAGTGGGTTGAAAATAGTAGGCCAAGGGAAGTGTTAATAGGGTCAGATTCAAGTAGTGCATTAATCAGTATTAAGAACATGAAATCAGAAACAAGACAGGATATTTTGTTGGAAATAGTTCAAGCGGTTTATAGAATTAATAGAGTAGGAGTAATAATAAAATTAATCTGGATTCCAGCCCATATAGGAGAAGGAAATGAAATTGCAGACAAATATGCCAAAAATGCAACCAAAAAAATCAGAAGTAGATATGGTAATAAGTTATAGTAAGGCGGAAGTTAAAAGCATAATCAGAGAAGAAATGAAGAAGAAGTGGCAAGAGGAGTGGAATAAAGAAACAAAAGCAAGAATGTATTACAGTATCCAGAAGAGGGTAGGAGGTATGAGAGAAAATAATAGGAATAAAAGGGAAGAGGACATTATTTCAAGAATGAGATTTGGGCATAATGGATTGAATAGTACACTGAAGTTAATAGGGAAACATGAAACTGGGATGTGTGAGGTCTGTAATATCAATGAAACAGTAGAGCATGTTATTATTAATTGTCAAAAATATAATGAGGAAAGGATGAGGCTGAGAAACTGTTTTTTTATCTTCATAAAAAAGTTAAATATTATTATTTTTAATGACATGTACAATGGGGAGAGGAATACTATATTTTCCTATCACATCGTGTTTTACACACAAAAGTTACATTCAGTTAAATTATGTTAAATTAACAGTTATGTTTTGACAGCTGGTAGCTTTATTATGGTAGCTTTACCCGTCGAAGTTTATCGTTTGAATCGATCTCCCATGCATTTTTGTTTGTTTGCATCTTTTATCCACTCTAGTTCACTGTCTGTTGATTTTTGTAAGTGTAGACAAAGCTTTCATGCAGTATCTGGGTGCTTGATGTGTGAAAAATCAATCGATAAAGGCATATGCAAAGGAAGTGCATTCAAACTCGCTTCAGCCCATTTATGTGAGAGGCGCGTGCACGCGAATGGGCGTGCGATTTGTCCGAGAGTCGGAATTCGGTACAACACCTGTTTTAATACCAAAAAGACTCGTGTTTTTCTTTTACACTACGCTGAACGGTCGGTTAAGTAAGTGAGTGCCATTGACGGAAGCAGTGACCGGAAGTGTTCCAGCCCACCACAGACAAACCGGAAATTCCATTTCCGTTGTCATGCAACTAGCAAATTCAGAGCTTTCCTCCCGGAGAAATTGACCCTTCGCTAAGCCACGCCCGAAAACCGCCACTGGCCAATCATGTCTTAGCAACCGTAACTATGCGCGGGAGGTCTGGCAAGCTTTCGAACGAGGGAACATGCTGAAGCATTGTCTGATACCGGTCCCTATACCTAAAAGTTTGGACGGGGGAGAGGAATTGTTTTCCTTCCAGAAAATCTAAAAGCCAAGGGGAGAAATGATTGGCGTGATCTAGCATCTATGTGCGAGACCCATTCACAACTACTGGTAAATGTCGACATGCTTAACAAAAACACCCATTGCTTGGAAATATTGACGGTTCTTTGGTCATAATGATAACGTAAAATAAGACGATTAAAGAGACAAGACAAAGGCTCACTGACATACTTTAAAATATATTTCAGCATTTTGTTAATCGACGTCCTACTAACGTTACCCCTTTAGTTACTAAAGTTACTAAAGTAACTTAACCCGAACCGATCGCGGCTCTCCCGGTATTAGTGTTATTCCACAAGATTTATGGATAAGCTGTTTGATTTATAATTATTAAGATTATTTTCACATACCCTGCTGTGTATGAACATAGCTGTTCCTCAATTTGTGTTTCCCATTTGAACGGTCAGCGTATGAGGCGCTGGGACTATAACGTTAGGCTTTAACTTAAATTTTTAAGAAATTATTCCCTAATCGGTTGCATATAATGTCTTGAATATATCCCTCGAATGCATACTGTAGTCCCTTTTGTTTTGCTCTCTCAGATATTTCACTTGTTCGCAAACACAATCAAACACACCTGATTCAACTCATCAGCTCATAATCAGATGGGTTAATGAGCTGATGAGTTGAATCAGGTGTGTTTGATTAGGGAGTCGCACCCACTTAGTCGCACCCACTGATCTGTAATAGGCTTGTAGGGTGAGTGGGTCCCACACCCTGGAATAATAATGAGCTAATATATGTAGTTCTAAAGATTTTAATGAAATATGACTTCCTGCTTATCGTGACGCAAAATGACGATTTTTACATCACGATAAGCAGGAAATAAAACACTTAAATCCTTATTTCTCCCATCTCAGGGGAAAATAAGGGAATAAACCATGACCATTCAAAAATATGACTGGGTTTCTAAAGATACAAAGCTTAATGCAAATGGGTGAAGTGACCCTTTAAGCACAAGCAACTTGTTTTTCTACCTTACAAGGAAGTTGTAAGTCTCTCTGTGATGTATATAAGCTCAATCTTACTGTACTACATTAGAGAAACATATATGCATGATATGGTGAGAGGAAGGAGAAACATAAAGATGATGGGGGAAAGGAAGGAGAAACCCAAAGAAACCATTTACAGAATCTGGAGGACCTCCTCTCATATAGCCTTATGCCTGTGTTTCTCTGTCTGACACATGATACATAATAAATAGAAATCTCTTGGCTGAAGTAACTGGTGGAGCTTCCATGATTCAACAATAATAGGGGGAAGCAGGATTTTCAAATCTACACTCCCAAAGCCAACGCCACATCACCTCCACACTTGCTCAGGTTTAAAGAGCAAAGGTTCAATTCATTTTATTTCCACTCAAGTTTCTCTTACCACATCACATTTTCCTCTGGCATCAATCGACAGAGGTATTGATAAAAAATCTGTCTTTTCATCATTGCTGTGTTTGCAGTAAGAACACACTGTAGATGTCTCCATGGCTCCTCTGAAAATCTAGGATTAAACACATTACAACAGTTGAAAGTGATCATTTTGACACTGTATTTGACGATCTTGGTAACACTTTATAAAAAGTACAGAGTAATAAAATACTTACAAATAATTTGCAATCTATTCGTTTATAGTTAATTCACAGTTAATATATTGTCTTTACATTGTTTATTGTTGTTTTTTTATGCTTTAAACATTTATTGGGCTCAATCTTGCACCCGGCGCAAATGACTTTATACATCAACGCATGTCTCGTTCCTATTTTGCACGCACGCAAAGCGGGATTTTTCCCTCCACAGATGCACGTTGGTAAACTAGGAAATGAACTTGCGCTCCCTGGGCGGATTGGCGCAAAAAGGAGGCGTGTTTCGGCGCAAACATTCCCTGGTGCTATTTTACACTTCCAGAAAACAATTGCACCACTGACCAGAAAACACCTGGTCTAAAGTCAGTGGGCCCTATTTTAACGATCTGAAACGCAAGTGTCAAAGCGCATGGCTCAAGTAACTTTGTGGGTGGGTCCCGGCGCTGTTGCTATTTCCCCGGCGGGATAAATGCCTCTTGCGCCTGGTGCAAATCTAAAAGGGGTTGGTCTGAAGTAGCTTCATTATTCATAGGTGTGGTTTGGGCGTAACGTGAAATAAACCAATCATCCAACATACCCTTTAAGAGCAGGTGCGCATGTTGCATGACGGATTGTTATTATAACGGCGGGTTTACCAGGCGCGCGCCAGGAGCGTTCACAGCCGATGAGACCGACGATCTTGTCAGGACAGTGAAAGACAGAGTGACGTTGTATGAGGATGGGACAAACCCACCCAAATCAGCGTCGGTTAAACATTATATACATATGTTTCTCTCCACTATTGGGCAAACAGGTCTGATCCTTCAGTACTACAATTAGCCTTAAAAAATGGGTAATTAGGTTTTTTCATCTTCATGTAAACCACATTGATTTCCCTCATGTGTTAATATTTTTCCTTGTTATAATGTATGATTTGCAACAATAAAAACTGCTGCATCTGTGTTGATGAGGGAATCAGTGTATGCGCGTTGTGTATACCAACCCGGTACATTATGGGCAAGCATGCGCACTATAGCATTATGAACAACACGCAACTGACTTTAGACCAGGTTTTTTCTGGTCAGTGGCGCAGTTGTTTTCTGGACGTGTAAAATAGCACCAGGGAATGTTTGCGCCGAAACACGCCTCCTTTTAGCGCCGATCCGCCCAGGGAGCGCAAGTTCATTCCCTAGTTTACCGACGTGCATCTGTGGAGGGAAAAATCCCGCTTTGCGCGGGTGCAAAATAGGAATGATACATGCGTTAGTGTATAAGTAATTTGTGCCGGGTGCAAGATAGAGCCCAGTGGCGCGTTGCGTGTTGTTCATGATGCTATTTTAAGCGCCCATGCTTGGCCATAATGTAGCGGGTACACAACGCGCATACACTGATTCCCTCATCAACACAGATGCAGCAGTTTTTATTTTTGCAAATCATACATTATAACAAGGAAAAATATTAACACATGAGGGAAATCAATGCGGTTTACATGAAGATAAAAACAATTACCCAATTTTTTAAGGCTAATTGTAGTTCTGAAGGATCAGACCTGTTTGCCCAATAGTGGAGAGAAACGTGTATATAATGTTTAACCGACGCTGATGTGCGAGAGTTTCTCCATCCCCATACAATGTCACCTCTCTGTCTTTCACTGTCCTGACAAGAACGTCGGTCTCATCGGCTGTGAACGCGCCTGGTAAACCCGTCGTTATAATAACAATCCGTCATGCAACATGCACACCTGTTCTTAAAGGGTATGTTGGATGGCGCTCTGATTGGTTTATTTCACGTTACGCCCAAACCACACCTATGAATAATGAAGCTACTTCAGACCAACCCCTTTTAGATTTGCGCCAGGCTAAAGAGGCATTTATCCCGCCGGGGAAATAGCAACAGCGCCGGGATCCGGCCACAAAGTTACTTGTGCTTTGCGCTTTGACACTTGCGTTTCAGATCGTTAAAATAGGACCCTATAAGTGTAATTATTTCTCACTTCAGATTAGGTCATGGGAAAATCAGAAAACGTCATTAATTAAGTGCTTTAAACTATTTTTTGGAATTTACTTGCATTAGTATTTTGTTCCTTAAAATATTTATGAATACATTCACAGTATATGGTTAATAAGTTGTTAAAGACGCATACATTATCTAACTATCTAACACACACAGTATTTCTTTAGAGTAATATTACACATCGGTAATAAATAAGAGTCTGAAATTACCTCTGATGGCTCTGGTACTCTGTGTAATATCATCTGCAGATATTCTGCGGCATCTTGCTGCTCAAAAACTAAGTGAGGAAAACAAAATGAATTACTATGAAATACAGGTAACTCATACTGTAAGTGAGTTAGTGAACTCATTAGTTTCAAAGAAACAGCTTCAAGATCAGACAATAGATAACACAAACATCCACAACAGTAATAGTATTTAAAATAGTATTTTATTTTATATACATGAATTTCCACACATGCCCTATAGAAAGCACATCTGCACAATTTTTCTCCAGAAGTTATGACCGATAAAAATTTCTTTGTACTCTTTTAGTTGTGGACTCTAAAAAGTCTGGGAACCACAGCATGTGGGCGAAAAGACCAACTACTTTCAGCGAGATTCGGAAGTGTGCATTAGATGGACACTTTACCATCACATGAGGCCACAGGAATTGATGCAACAGATGCTGGGAGGTCACGTGACAGTAACAACATGGTGGATATAGTGTCTACATTTCCTTCATACTACCCATGGTCGGTTAAAAAAAGGAATATTGTACATGGATAAAATAAATAATAGTTGAAACTGAAAAATAATAAGAGTAAACAGAATGGGAATTTGTAAAATACTGTATATGTAATGCAAAAAAGCTCAATGTGCATTTGTGAGCAAAGTGGATAGAGGAAGGAGAAAAGAATACCTCATGTTTCAGCAATTTAGAGAAGAGAATATAAGGCTAAAAATAAAATAAGACTGTGTTAAGTTTACTTACAGTGTTGGGATGTTAGAACCATTGAAAATTAAGTGCTCACGTTTTATAATAACCTCTACACATGCATCACTCCGATTCTTCTGAATATTAAGATAGAATTAAAGAATTTAGATTTAGGATTCAACATCCATATGAGTTAATGAGACTGTTTTTGAACAAATGCCCTGCTACTGATGGGCTAACAGCTAAATGTTATAGATTCTTCTGGAAAGATATTAGACACTTTTTGTAGTTTAGGGCAGATTTCTATCAAATTGTGATCAGTTCTGCACAGATTTTGCTCATCTCAAACAATCCTAGTGACTTTATGACTTGGTGGTTTTAGTTTCATATTTAGAGTTTTATTTCTTTCTTGTATTTTTTGTCATATGTTATTTCACTATTCAATCTTTTTAAACCTATTAATCTAATATCCCTATTTAGTTCATTCTAATTGCAGTGTAAATTCTAAAGCTACTATTTTGTAATGTCTATTGAATGCTTTCTCATTGAACACAGTAATGACTATTTTAAGGGGGTAATTTCTCAGACCAAATTAATGTGTGGTCAATTTGCAATTAATTACATTCATTAATTAATGCATCATGTAATTATTTTTACAGACATAATTAAATTAGATTAGAGCAAATTAGATTAAACCTAGCCGCAGATTATCCCACTAAATCAATGGGTCATCGTCACCAATAATGTTTTACATGTTAGGTTCGACTTGACAAATAAAACTGACTTGACCAAGGATTAAACAACTCATCCATCCATCAGTTCTCCAAACAGTTTGTCTTATGTAGAATCAAAGAGGTTTAAAGAGCCAACAGAATAAAAACAAAGATTTAGAGAGACTAACCATCTGTGATGTTAAGCACTTTTGTGACCTCTTCTGTGGAAACAGCTGTTCGTTCACACTGTAAACTCCTGAATAAATCAGCCAGTGCCTTTCCTTCAGGGGATTTACAGGTGTTTGAGCTAAACAAAGTTCAATGATTAGTGGAATAAATTAGTTACAGTGGACACAAAAATATAATATGCACAGAATTATAAAAAAAAGTAAGTATTTCTTCCTACCTCGTCACTTGATGCCTAAACTCGTCTGTCATGAAGAGCGTCTGCAGAACTGCGTTCAGGTAGCAGGTCATTCCTTGATTGATCAAACCACAGGGATCTGAAATCAGAGGTTTTCAGTTTAGACTTTTTTGAAGAAAATAAATGAAACAGATTTATAGAAACATTTGGTGCAAGAACAGCTGTAATAATAATCATGATTGTTTGTGAATAATTCTGCAGCCCTATAATATAATAAGTAATTATGACTAAATGCAACACAGTTTGTGGTCATTTATTAATCATTCTCTGGCTCTGCAGAATTAAACACTGCTGAATAATTTAAAGAAGCTTCATCTGAGAAGCTCAATATACTCGTCAGGGAATCGGAAGACACAGACTGGTAAGTTTCACAGGTTTATTGAAACAGATGCACAATGGAGGATGGCAGGTGAGTATTGGACTGGAAGATTATAGCAGGTATCTCAGAACAGTCTGTAATCAGAGTCTCTTATCTGTACAGGATGATTGGAGGCAGAAGACGGATAGAGGAATGAACCCAGAGGAACCGGTACAGGATTGGAGAGCTGGATGATGAAGGATTGGATGATGAAGGACTGGAATCAGGTAAGTAGTAGAATCGAGTGGTGGGGGTCTGAAGTCGGTGTGCAGACGAGACCAGACAATGATGAAGTGAGCAGGTGAGTCCTTTATGGTGCTGGTGAATGAGATGGGGATTAAGTGCAGGTGGTGGTGACAGGTGACGATGATTAGTAATCCGGGATGCCGATCGGGTGGGTGGAGTGATGGAATCTGGCACTGAAGCAGATGTATCCGTGACAATACTACAGATATACAGTAGGATTTAAAAAAAGTCAAAAAGCCAATAGAGTTCAATGGAAATTGCGACCAACTTGCGACCATAGTTGGCTAACGATGCTTTCGGGAAACGCACCCCAGCTTAGTAAACCTTAGAAAATATCAGAATTTCTTCATTACTCATAAAGTGTAGTCTGATCTTCATTTAAGTCACAATTTTCGACAAACGCAACCTGACTTCACTAATAACACACAAACAGTTATTTCATGTTTTTTATTTTATTTTATTGAAGACATTGAGTGATCCTTGAGAGGACATGGGCAGGAAAAAATAACTGAACCTTGAGTTAAGACTTTTCCAAAAGCTAATATGAGATGAGATTGGAAGTGTGGGTCTGGTTAATGTAAAATATGTTTTTCTGAAGAATGATTGGTTAGACTGAACAATACCTTGATCGCAATGGCTTAAAACACATTACAGAGATGCACAAAACTACCTGTAAAAAAGAGGCTTACAAAAGCTCTGCTAAAACCCGAGTGTCATAAATACACGGAAAGAGACCCTGTCTACAAATCTAGTAAATTATACACGTTTTCAGTTGTCTTCTGAATGTTCTGTGGATGGGCAGATCACTCCACAGCATGGAACCGATTTTGAGTGATTCACCGAGTGATTTTGAGGCTCTCTGTGATGGTACCACAAGCCGTCGCTCACTGACTGATCGTAGGCTTCTGGTAGGGATGTAGACTTGCAGTAATGAGTGGAAGTAGGAGGTAGCTGATCCTGTGGCCAATCTGTACGCAAGGGTCAACGCCTTGAACTTGATGCGAGTAGCGACATGGAACCAGTGCAGGGAGATGAACAGAGGAGTGACGTGTGACGTGGGATAACATGAAGGTTTACCTGAGTTCTGTCCACATGAGATGTTGTGGCATAACATAAAGAGAGTTGTGCTATCAAAACAACCCAGATTTATCACTAGATATATGGGGAAAGGTGGTCCAAAAAGCCTTATAAGCAACTACAGAAACTGTTTGGTGGAGGTTTAGCCACCAAAGGGGGATCTCCGAGTTATTAAAAGCACATAATCACAAGAACTGTATGCCCTCCCTTGTGAAAAAGAAGTGTTAATTGTATTGAAAGTATACTTTTTGTGTACTTTAAATCATAAAAGTATACTTTTTGAAAAGTGCACTTGAAGATAATTTAATTAAAATTAAAGACCACTTAAGTGTACTTAAATAGAATACACTTTTATGACTGTGACGCTGTGCGGAGAAACAGAGCTGAGGCTGGGTCCAAACGCAGTGTAGCTTTATTAAAGAAACTTAAAACAAGACACTAGAAGCAAGAAACTTGAGAGCACCAACGCAACACACATAAATTCAACAACCAACAAAGACAGGGCAGAAACACAGGGCTTAAATAATCAATGACAAACGAGCTAGACAAGATAACAAGGGGGCGTGAGAAATGAGAAACACCTGGGATAAATAATGGACGGGCAATAACTAATAACGAAAACACACAAAATCACTACGTGACATAGCCTCCCCCCTATGGGCGGCTCCCGACGCCCATACAAAAAACAAACAGTTCAGGAGGGCGGTGAAGCGGAGACAGTCTTGGGGGAGGGACGGAGGGCCAGGCCCGTGCAGGGGAACAGGACCAGGAGGTAGCCAAGGCGGGCCTGGGCCGCAGAGCATGGGCCTACCAGACTGGGCCGGAGACCAAGGCGGAGCAGGACGTGGCAGAGGCCAGGGCGGAGCAGGACGTGGCAGAGGCCAGGGCGGAGCAGGACGTGGCAGAGGCCAGGGCGGAGCAGGACGTGGCAGAGGCCAGGGCGGAGCAGACACAGGCAAGGTCCATGACAGCCTCGCCTCCATGGCCCCCACAGAGTACCTACTGCCCCCCCCAAAAAATACTTGGGGAAATTCACGGGAGGAGCCTCTGGGTGGTAAACGGGTTCAGGAAAGGTCTCCCGGAGCTTGAAGGGCGCAGTCAAGGTGATGCGCAGAGGCGGGGCCGGCAGGGCGAGGCGCAGAGGCGGGGCCGGCAGGGCGAGGCGCAGAGGCGGGGCCGGCAGGGCGAGGCGCAGAGGCGGGGCCGGCAGGGCGAGGCGCAGAGGCGGGGCCGGCAGAGCGAGGAGTCTGGGCACGCTCACCGGGGCCTGGCGAACCAAACGAGTCCTCCTTCTCCTCCTCCTGCGGCGGCGCGTCACAGGGCTAGACACACTCGCTGGGCTGGACAACTCACTCACTTGAAGAGGAGATGCAGCGCTCACTTGAAGAGGAGATGCAGCGCTCACTTGAAGAGGAGATGCAGCGCTCACTTGAAGAGGAGATGCAGCGCTCACTTGAAGAGGAGATGCAGCGCTCACTTGAAGAGGAGATGCAGCGCTCACTTGAAGAGGAGATGCAGCGCTCACTTGAAGAGGAGATGCAGCGCTCACTTGAAGAGGAGATGCAGCGCTCACTTGAAGAGGAGATTCAGCGCTCACTTGAAGAGGAGATTCAGCGCTCACTTGAAGAGGAGGTTCAGCGCTCACTTGAAGAGGAGATTCACTCACTTGACTCGATTTGGACCTGGACACACTTGACTCACTTGATTTGGACCAGGACACACTTGACTCACTTGATTTGGACCAGGACACACTTGACTCACTTGATTTGGACCTGGACACACTTGACTCACTTGATTTGGACCTGGACACACTTGACTCACTTGACTCGGCCGTTGACTCACTTGACTCGGCCGTTGACTCACTTGACTCGGCCGTTGACTCACTTGACTCGGCCGTTGACTCACTTGACTCGGCCGTTGACTCACTTGACTCGGCCGTTGACTCACTTGACTCGGCCGTTGACTCACTTGACTCGGCCGTTGACTCACTTGACTCGGCCGTTGACTCACTTGACTCGGCTGGCACGCGCTCAGTGGAAAACTCTTGAGGCAGGAATGCAACGGAGCTCACGTGAATCGCGAGTTCGGCTGGGCTGACGTGAAGCGCGGGCTCGGCTGGGCTGACGTGAATCGCGGGCTCGTCAATGCGCACGTGAAGCGCGGGCTCATCGTGACTGACGTGAACCAGCGGTGAAGACGACGAGGGCTTCGCGGGTAAAGTACACTCGGCAGGTGTCGAGTAGAATAAGCGCGCAGTAGTGAAGAGGTCCTGCAAGTAACGAGCCCGAGCGACATACCCGTCAAGAGTCCAGTTGGCAAGGTCCCGCGGCATCCATCGAGCGATCTCATAATCCAGCCCATTCAGAAACAGGCCCATGAGCTGGATATCATCTAGCGCTCCCAGACTGCTAATGGACAGGAACTCCTTCGCGTACCTTTGGACAGACTGGCCCTCTTGCAAGACTGACGACAGGTATTCTGTCATAGCCCGGTTGCTGACGACTGCTGGACCCATATTGAGGTTGGTTGTTCTGTGACGCTGTGCGGAGAAACAGAGCTGAGGCTGGGTCCAAACGCAGTGTAGCTTTATTAAAGAAACTTAAAACAAGACACTAGAAGCAAGAAACTTGAGAGCACCAACGCAACACACATAAATTCAACAACCAACAAAGACAGGGCAGAAACACAGGGCTTAAATAATCAATGACAAACGAGCTAGACAAGATAACAAGGGGGCGTGAGAAATGAGAAACACCTGGGATAAATAATGGACGGGCAATAACTAATAACGAAAACACACAAAATCACTACGTGACAATGACAATATTTCTAAACACACTTAAAGGTACCCTATGTACGAATTTTGTAATAACATATCCAAAAATCACTTGCTCAGTGTGATATATTTTCTGCAGTTGAATATCCCAAAAGTCTCCAAAGTCTCCAATTTTAAATAATTGGCCGTCCCGGAAAAAAATGTCGCCTGTCAATGACGCAATATCTGCGCTATCCTCGGTTTCCACTGCCATAGCCATGACGTAACCATGGCGACAGACGTGGACAACTGCGTAGTACGTAACGTTTAGCGGCACTCTGTTCAAGTGCACGACGAAGGAGATTCAATAGGAGACTTTAACGCAGAAATTAGACCAGGGGCCTGTTTCAGAAAGGAGGTTTAAAAGAAAACTCTGAGTATGTTAACCCTGAAAGGAGGGAAACTCTGTGTTTTCCGTTTCAGAATGTGAGGTATGTCAAACCCAAGAGAGCAGAGTAAGTCAAGCCCGTTTCTGAAAGAGAAGTTGATTGATTGATTGATTTTGATTGATTTTATTTGACCCTTTTGTTTAACACAATAAAGCCCTAGGGCGTATTTCCATTGTGGTCTCGGTGGGTTGGAGATAACTTGTACTCTGAATCAGTTACCATTGGTAACTCACTCTGTGAACCTAACCTGGTTAGGTGCAGTTTTTCTGCATTGACGCTTTGTTCGCCAAACCCACACAAGGATATAATTAGCTAGAACTATGCAGTCAGCGAAATGCACGTTCACAATTACTTCAGGAAGCACGGAAGGGAGGGGGAGGAGATGAGATGCGGAGGAGGGAGGGTCTAGCTCCGATTTGTTTGAAAATATTCAAACGTCAACACCCAGGATCGCTCAGAGAACCTTTAAATGAGGATAATCTGATAAATGACGTTCATTTGATAAAACATGCTGTGACCTCTGAAAGTAACCTAATAATTAGATTTTCCTTTAGGATTTCCAGTGTGGTTGGATGCATTGATGACGCACATATTCTCATCATCGCACCTTAAAGAGATTACTGTAGAGGATAGTCTGAGATATATGCCATAACCACCACAGCTGTTAAATACACACAAATGATTCACTATTTATTTGGTTATCTTTATTTCCTACAAATACAAAAGCAACAGTTATTATTTTTCCTGTTGGATTTTACTCTTCTTCCAATATTGTGTATCTCCTCTTCATCTATCAGAGATAGTGCAGCTATCTCATTGTAAGTCAAATGTTAATTTCATTAGCCTAATTAAAAAAAAATGTAACAGGTTGGATTAGAGAACATTTAATTATGTGAAAAGAGCATTATACTCTGTGGAAACAGCTGCTGCACATTGAAATAGACACTGAATTATATTTATTTAATATGTCAAATGTTTGTAAAGTCATGTAGCCTAACAGCCATTAACCTTTTATGCTTAAAGATTTAGCTGATTGAATTATGAATTTATTGTTCATTCTTAGTTGCTGCCACAATTTTTTTTTTTTTTTTTTGCCTGTGGGATACCATGAAAATGAGTATTAGTTCAATAACTTACCTTTCTGTCAGTTCTCACCTGATAATATAACAGTGAATAAGAATTATACTTGTGTATTGACTCGGAACATGTGGATGTCATTTTGTCTGGTGCTGTTGCCATGGTGAATCATAATTTCGGAGCTCCATTGATCATGGCTTTTCATAGTTGTGGTGCACGTGCTTAACTCAGAGTTAACCTACTCAGAGTAGATTAAACTAACTCAATTAAGCTTCTCTGAAACAGAAAACTCAGAGTTTCCCATCTCAGGGTAAGTCAACTAAGAGTTCAAGTTTTAACACAGAGTTGGTTGAACCTCATTGAAACAGGCCCCAGATATAGTTAGCTTTGTTTTGTCATATGTTTTGGCTTTTCCCCTTCCTGAACTTGATGTTGCTCCTTACTTATGTTTAATAAAATCACTTTTTGCACTTTAAAGAGTGTTTTGGTGTAAGAAGCCTTGGGAGTGAGAGCGGGTACCCCGGGGACCTTGTTGATTGCATCCCTGTTAATTGTTATGGACGGTTTTGTTCTCTTTGAGTAGAGATTTTACTTCATTTGTAACAATTACATACAATGTGCATTAAGGGAGACAAAAACATTGCATTTAATTCACACTTAAGTGTATTCCTTTTAAAGCATATTATTTGTGTAATAAGTACACTTTATTAAAGTGCAATAAAGTGCACTTTTTTTCACAAGGGCTCTTGCACCCCTGCATACTCACCCCTGCTTGTATTTTTTTCTTTGGACTTCTGGGACTCCAATTCCTTTGCATTAGTGACACGCTCATTATGTGTAGACCTTCCCTGGACAGGAAGTAAATTTCTGAAAAAACCTTGAAAAACATGAAGATATTTAGATTATCAGATATTGTTTTACAATAGTCTACAAATAAATGGCTCCACTTGGGGGTTCTCTAAAGAACAGCACTCGTGACACCCTTACATCTAATTACATCTGAGTTACTACTAATATGAAGTAAACATATTTCCAAGGCATTTTAAGCATAAAAGTCCAGACTAACATATGAGAGCAAGTGTACTTACTGTAGGTAAATAGAATTTATTTAAACACTACTTGTAAGATATGACACAAAGTACTTTACAATAAAATAAAATTGCTTTAGTTCAAATAAAAAGGGCCTTAAGATAAATGCTTCAGATAAATAAGGTTGCAAATTATGTTCACATTCCTTTGAAATTGTCCTGTGACATCCTGTGATGAGATTCAAGAGAAAAAGCTAAAATGAAGGTGTTAAAGACAGAAAAGTCCATTTCCACAATGAAAAAACCATTATGCATGTTTCATATACATTAATTTGTATTGCTTTCGGATGTCTCCACAATTATTAACCAAGAAAAAAATATCTAATGCACTTTCTTGAAAGCATACAATCACACCCTCCCTGCAAATTGCTACTCAAAGCCACGCCTCCTCCAAAACACATGAACGTGTGCAGACCAGGAGCGACCAGAGCAATGTTAATGGATTACATCATGTGCCATTCAATGGTGAAAAATCTTTACAATACAGTGAGCAACAGTGCTTCAATAACGAACTCAAACAACTTTTTAAAAACTGAAATATTGGAGAACAATTGAGTGTGAAGTCCTCTGATAAATCTTCTTCTGAAAACTCCCCAGAAACTGGTGCTCTTCGGTCATTTCTGACTGAAACATTTTTCGTTTTGAATTTTTTTTAAATCACAGCTTCCGAGCAGGATAAGTGGTCATAAAAAAAATAGTCACTCTTGTAGCATGGGAAAACCCAGACAATTTAGATTTGCTCTGAAAGTCTTTTTAGTCTGGCAAAGACCTCATTCAAGCCCATTTCCAATCCGTCGGGCGGGCTTTACACGATGACGACAGTGCTGGGATTTTGAAGCAGATTTTGTAGCCTACATTACAAAGATGGACGCTGCCGTCGAACATCACTCGTTCAAATCAGCTATCGCGTCTGTTTTAAGCGATTTGAACGTTTCCTTTTTGTTAAAGACCGAGCAAAGAACAACAATCGGAGATGTTTCTTCGCCGCTCTGCATATGTCTTCTCCTTGATCCCTCTGATTAGTTTTAGGTCTACCCGCGACGTCCGTTGGTAACGCCCCTCTGGAAATGATTTGTCTATGACGCTTTGCCAGACCACTTCGAGCCGAAATAGCGACCTTATTGAGCAACGAGGCAATAGAGCCTTGATCTCAAGCTCAGAGCGAAGGGGACCTGTACAGCAGATATTTTCTAGCAACGAAAAAAGATGGGGGTCTCAGACCCATTCTAGAGCTAAGACAGCTGAACAAAGCGCTTATGAAATGCCAGTTCAAAATGCTTACAACCAAGAAAATCCTCGCGCAGATTTGCCAAGGGAACTGGTTTATGTCGATAGATCTGAAGGACGCTTATTTCCAGGTACAAATAGCGTCACGTCACAGGCAATTTTTGAGATTTGCCTTCGAGGGCCAGGCATATCAATACACAGTCCTACCATCCGGCCTGTCTCTTGCACCCTGTACATTCATGATGTGCATGGACGCGGCGCTCGCACCCCTAAAGCTTCAGGGCATGCGCATTTGAACTACTTGGACGATTGGCTGATTCTACCTCGATCTCACTCAGAGCTCATAGAACACATATTACTCGAACACCTCAAGAAACTGGGTCTCACAGTCAATTGGACGAAAAGCTCGCTGGTCCCCAGTCAGAAAATAATTTTCCTGGGCACAGGAAAAGCACGAGTACCTCCTCGAGCGTGGGCTTCCGGTCTACTTCGCCTCAGGGTCAATCAGGAATGTATCACAGTCCTGTAACCTTGAAGAGCGACTGACTGGTACCAGTCTGGTGTAAACCTGGGGACTTTCTCGAGTGTACAGGTGATGTCTATAGGCTATGTTCACAACCGTAGTTTCGAACTTCCGCTTTTGTCAGAAGTCGGCGTATCAGTTTCCGGTCTACCACTGGTCATCTGCATCCACTAATAAACAGACAAGATGAGTGCTGCTGTTGTACGAAAAAAAGAGTTCTTAAACACATCTAAGTTTCTAAGAACTGTAGTGGATCAAACGTCCGTTTTCCTTGATTAAATGTGCATTTATGGTGAGCTTACTACATGTTATTTAATTAAACGCATTTATGGTGAAATTTCTACATTTTCAAGTCAATCTTTATCATTTTGACCACCAGCGTTTGCAGCACAGCAGAAATAGATTCGGTGTGGAAACGATCGCTGTGCTGCTGTTATACGTACCACATCAGTGAAAAGTGAAAGCCCTAACCTGTTTACATGCGTTAGGAGACTGCTGTGCGGCACTTTGCTCGGCTTCAAGTCGCTAACAGCCATTTCAGCTTCTACTGCTTCCTGATAAACACCAACCTTCGTGCGCAGTGGCTGCACAAAATAGACATTTTGATCGACGCGCTAAAAATAATACAAATATTAAGTATGTGTTTGTTGTACGGCCGCGGATCAGTTATTCACTGTGCAAACGCATCATTATGTGAACGCACTAACAGCACGCTCCTGCACCGCAACACACACTGCAAACGGGTGTGAAATGGACGTTAGATCCACCTACAGTTCTTAGAAACTTAGATGTGTTTAAGAACTCTTTTTTTCGTACAACAGCAGCACTCATCTTGTTTGTTTATTAGTGGATGCAGATGACCAGTGGTAGACCGGAAACTGATACGCCGACTTCTGACAAAAGCGGAAGTTCGAAACTATGGTTGTGCACATAGCCTATGGACGCCTCCTCCTCAGGATGGGGAGCGCTGCACGAGGGCAAACCGTTCTTCGGCCTATGGTCAGTAGGGCTGGGTATTGTAACAAAATGTTCGATACCGATACCTTGAGTTCGATACCGGTTCCTGAAGGATACCTTTTTTGATACCAATTTTATGTAACCAGTTTTAACAATATAATATTACCTACATTTTTATTTTATTTTTCAGTTTGTTGACTTTCACACTCATATTTTGAGTATGTAAAAAAGCACCAATGCTAAAGTTTTCTCTGTTTCCTAATCATTTAACAACATGTTTTCTTCACTTCAATGAGCTCATTGTTTCTGCCTTATCTTAATGCATTGTTTAACAATGAAACTGAATGAAAATTAATTGAAATGCATTACACGGTCACCTCTGATAACAGATCACTCTAAATTGTAATTTAGAAACATGCATTTTCTGTAAAGCTGCTTTGAAACGATATGTACTGTGAAAAATGCTATACAAATAAATGTGAATTAAATTAAATATAGGCTACTGGGGGGCGGGATTTATGCCTCGCGCTCAGCACACACGAAGCTTGCCGCAAAAGCACTGGCAACAGTAGCCTAATGATTATGGATGTGTCGGGAAACAACAGCAAGGATATATTTTAATAGTTTATTAATGAACACGTGTTTAATAAGTGTACTGGCAGCAAATATGATTATGGCGACGCTGACTGAATGTGCACGCCTATATGGATTAGGAAATCAAAACTATTTATTTCTAATTGTTTTGTTTAAAAGTAGACATATTTTGACCGTCTATAGGCCTATTTCTCATCTCTATGAGGCAAGTACGCTCCAGTTCTTGCAGTCGAAGACAGATAAACTTTCTACTCTCAAGTGTCTGTTCCTTATTTACCGTGTTTTACTGGTCTTGGCGGCAATTATCTTGTCGAAAATATTGCATCGCGTGCTCCTGGCATCGAGTCTGGCACATAGGTACACTTTGGATCATTTCCACATATTTTCTATCCATCTGGGTTGACGCTTACACGCACACACACACACACTCACGTGCGACTAGCTACGTCTCTGAGCAGCCGCGTAAACTAGTGTTTTCCGCAACAGCCAATCATGCTGCGTGCTTATTGTTTCACTGACGTTGACGAGATTAACCACTTAGGTACCGAAAAACAAGACATGTTTCGATACTCGGTAGTACCGAGGCAATTCGGTCGGTACCTAAAAACGAAGAACTCGGTACCCAGTCCTAATGGTCAGAACGAGGAAAGCTCCTTCATATAAACTGTCTGGAAATGTTGGCAGTCGACAACACTCTGAGGTGCTTCTGTCCCCGAATAAAGGGCTACCACGTCTTAGTCCGCTCGGATAACATGTCGGTGGTATCCTAGATAAATCGCAAGGGCGACGTCAGGTCTCGATACCTTTTCAGACTGACAGAGAGCATTCTGGTCTGGGCTCAGCACAATCTGTGCTCACTGAGAGCAGCACACTTGCCTGGCCTCCTGAATTTGGGCCTCCTGTCCAGGAACAATTTTCCAGCTGGTGAATGGTCTCTGCAGCCACAGACAATCCTCCTGCTGTGGGAGAAGTTCGGCAGAGCACAGGTGGACCTATTCGCGTCCCAGGAGAATGCTCACTGCCCAAAATTCTTCAAAATTCACTGGTCCTCATCTGGCCCAGCTGCCCGTTCTATGCTTTTCCCCCGGTCTCGCTCCTGCCTCAAGTGTTGGAACGAATCAGGGAAACCAGATGCTCTCTGCTCCTTGTGGCTCCGCTCTGGACGAACC